CACATTGTATATGTTGTTGAGGTCTAGAGCTTGCGCGCGGCCTGATAATGCATGAATCAGCCAGTGGGTTGAAGATTAACTCTGCACATATATAGGGCGTAGGTATACCCAGTCTCAAAATCGATCGAATGTCCGATCCAGATTCAATGATTAAGCACATCAAATGGATCATATGCAGATGATCATTTGACACATGTTGCAATATTGACTAGTCAATCAAAGACTGAGATCTTCTTATATTTGAGTTGTATCACGCGCCGGCTTGGTATATAACTAGCTAGCGCTCTCATGTTCATGCATGTGACTACTATATGGCGGCATGCATGCCAGCATGTGTGCGCGCCGTGATGGACGATCACAGTAATAACCATTGCACATGCATACTATCCCCATGCAATATTAGGCAATCTGCATAGCCCTGCATGATGTTCATGCATGTGACTAACTCAGACATGCATGCCAGCATGTGCGCGCGCGCCGTGATGGACGATCACGTACGGTAATAACCATATCGCGCATGTGCACATGCAACATTAGGCAATCAGCTTGCTATGCAGATTGCAGGAGCAACCAATTTCATAAGAATTTAGCATCGAGCCTGCAGGCTGAACCCCGCGCATCCACTTACAAGCTTTTGGCATACAGACTAGTTGTCCTGCATGCGAAGTTAGCTAGGCCATGCATATGGCCGAAATTGACGTGAATATACTGGCCGGGCACATGACGGCTGCGCCGGATAGGACAAAGCAAAGTTCCATGCCGATTACATCTAAGTTTCCGATGGCAACGCGCATGTGTGCAGTGATAGAGCTGAGCAACTTGGCAGCAGCGGATGCATGTACGTTTGTTTAATCACGACTATTCAATGGAATGCCACAACAATTGTGCACAAAGAAGTTGCGACTCTGGACCTTCCAAGCAGTATGCCAATAGGAGGACCAGACGGGCGAAGATGGAATCTGAAGCAGAGGCGGCGGGCCCGGGAAACTGCTCTCTCAAGCGTCCATAAGACACCAGCGGTTTAACTTTCAACCTCTTCCATGAATGTGCCTGCTGTCTCTGCGTGTCGAATGGTATGCTTGACTAGCTACCTATGAAACTAGCTGTCGGCAAAATTGCTTGTTGAAGAAGGGGTGTCTCATGCATAAAACTCCTCGTAACCCCTTCTTGCTGATCATTCGACAACTCAAACCTCTGACCAATTGGTCAGCAAGCTTAGCTCTTAGATTCCTTCCGGGATTGTCCACTTCCCGAGTGGCAATGCTAACGAGAAGCAGCCCCTGTCAACGGGGCATGCACGCTTTCCCTTCGACGCGGTTTTCGACCGTTTGCTTCCCTTGGGATGCTTGGGAAGTTTCTTGGCAGCGCGAGGCGGTCTGTGTTGCATCTCGGCCGACATCTTTGATACCCAGCGGACGGCGTCCTGCAAGGGATAAATCATGCTAAGCCTTTGACGGTGCAAATCCACAGAAGCAGGACTTGAAATTGCCAAAAATTCCGACAAGATACGATGACAGTGCCTGCACGGGTCATGCTTTGATGGGCCGGTTCAGTAAGCTTGCAAGCTGTTTGCATCAATATAGCACTCTCTGACGGAAAGTCAATTTGGTTCGCCGCGCTCCGGCAATGGAAGATCTATCTTCGCTTTCCACTTCATCAATGAGATCACTCAATGCCGCCTTGGCTGGTCTTCCCCGGCGCAGCCCGTGCTGCCGCTGCATGCCTGCTCACCGTGTAGTTAGGCAGCACCCGCAGGGCGCCCAGGGTGAGCGACGCAGTTGGTCCTGGGCCGGGCTCCTGCGTGGGCGGCGGCGGCCGCTTGGCAGGCTTCCTGCGCAGGAGGTTGCGCAGGAAGTCGGGCATGCGGGGCGGCACGAACTCGCCGGCGTTGATCTTGCGGATGACCTCCTGCAGCTCCGCTGCGTCCTCCGCGTCCAGCTCGTCCTCCTCCTCGGCCTCGCCGCCCGCGTCGTCGTCGTCATCGTCGGCGAGGGGCTCCTCGTCCGCGATGAAGTCCTCCTCCTCCTCCTCGTCGTCCTCCACCTCCACCTCCGCGTCCGGGTCCACGTCATCGTCGTTGCCGACCGACGACTCGCAAAAGTTGCCGTCGGGGGGATACTCGGCGTCGGCCACCTCCTCCTCCGTCTTCAGCAGGCGCGCCCACTCGTCGTCGGCGGCCTCGTCCTGCGCCTTGCGCACCAAATCTGCTGCCTCGCGCTTCAGCCGCTCCTCGCGCTCCTCCTGCGCGCGCAAGCAATCGAGAAATTGTGGACGAAAAGTGTGACAGGCTGCCCCAACAAAGCTCCCCAAAGAGAGCTTGATTGGGACAAAAGTCCGTCTAGAGGTCCTAAGGATGAGCAAATACCGGGTTTTGAGCCATGGCAAGCGACGCAGACCTAAGGAGGCCTAAGGAGGGCCAATGGGCACGTAGGATTTTGAGGAACCCTAAACGAGTCAAGTCAATAACTTCGTTTCTGCCATGTCCTACTCAAGAGGACTCAGGAACGAGGCCGCAGCAGCGGCCGTTCCTGCGGGCTGGGGGTGTGTGCGTGCGGCCTCACCTCGGTTTCGGGGGCGGGCATGCCCTTGGCGACGAGCGCGCCCTCGGCGTTGCGGGAGATGAGGAAGGGCTTCCCCTCGGCCCCCGTGACAGTGACCCACTGCAGCACGTCCCGCTCCACCTCGTCCACGTCGTCCGCCAGCATGTACTCGATCTTGGCGTCGTCCGGGTTGGACGCCGACGCCCATTGGCTGCGCCGCACGCCCGCCTCCTTTGCAGCGGCCACTGCAGCGTCCACCCGCTCCTGCAAGCACCCAGCAGCCAGCAGCGGCCCGACGCAGTCAGAACCAGGGCAGGCGGACTATGACATGCGGCAAAGTCGCCGCCGAGCACCCAGGGACAAGTCGACTCCACGGTAGAACCCCGGCCCCAACTGTCCGCCATTTCTGCAGATGGTCACAGAGGGTGTGATGACAGTAGCGGTGGTCGAGCTGGCCCCTGTCTGAGGCTGCGTGAGCGCCCAACTATATCTATGGCACGCTCTGTTATTGAATTCCGGGAACACCCGTATCGTTGCGACTGCACGTGGCGCTCACCTTCTTGGTCTCGGGGTCGGTGATTTCGCCCTCGTCGCCAATCCAGGGCGTCTTGGCTGCGGCGGCCCACACGCCCTGAAGCAGGAACTCCTTTTCGTGGTCCAGCGTCAGCTCGGGCGCGGCCTTGGGGATCTCCAGGAAGTCGAAGAAGGGCTCGTCGCTGTACCACGGCTGGCGGCGCCACTCCTGGCCCGTCGTGCGCTCGTCTTCCTCCTCCTCCTCCACGCCCGACTTGACCACCGCGTAGCCGTACTGGTCCACCTCCAGCTGCACGCGGCGCACACCCCCGCAGTCAGAACCAGCACTAAAGTGCTCTCGAAGACGCTGATCGAGCAAGAGTTGGCAGCCCAATCAACCGTCTCAACAGGCAGCTGTCCTGCACTTTTACTCAAAGGAAATGAGTATCAAAATGGCCGTCTGGCAGGCCGTTTGCATGCCCGCCCGTCTGCAGGTCCGCTTGCGCAGAGCGGAAAGTACACGATGCGCATATGCACACGGCTTGTGAACCTCGTTTGAAGGCCACGTCAAAAGCTGGAAGCCCTGTTGCGGGCCCTCACCCTTTCGGCCGGGATGACGTCGTCCAGCCCGCGGTTGCGGCGCTCCTCGGCGGCGGCCCTCTTGGCCTCCTGCTCGGCGGCCAGGACAGCCTCCTCCTCAGGGGACCCTGGCCGCGGCTTCGCCGTTGCGGGGTTGACGACGAGCGCGTCCAGGTCGGCGTACGGCAGGAACGCGCGGTTCTGCGAGTCGAACTTGGAGAATTTGCCGTCGGGGGCCACTGCAAACACGTCCAGCTTCGTCTCGTCGTCCTCCGTCATGTTCCACAGCACCGCCTTGTCCTCTGCACGCCAAGCGCGCACCAGGATGAAGTCAGCACCTGGGGCGGAGCTTTCTCAAGCAGTTCAATGCGAAGGTCCTAATCCAGGACGGACCAACAGAGGGGGCTTGGGCGGATCTCGGGTCGTGCAGCAGACCATTGAGTCTGGCCTGACATCAGCTACTTGTGAGCAGCGGGGTACGCCAACGAACTTACTTGAGGCAGGCCGCTCTGCTTCCACTTGCGCTGTGATCTTGGACTCGAGCGCATCTGGCAACACGTCCTTGAGGCTCAACGCGCGGGTCTCTGCAGCAACAGCGTCAAGCAGGGGTTACAGCACGAGCAGGCGGCGGCAGATGCTGACTGGTAAACACATGGTAAGCATGCTGTAGAGAGGACTGTAGATGTGATCCTGCTCTCAGGTGATGTCAGCATCCGATTGCCAGAACGCCAGCAACTTCGACATGGTTCTCACTCTGTTCCGCCACTCTCTTGTCCAGGTCTGCTGGTGAAGTCGCGTGCAGCTGCCTTTTGACGGCCTCCCAAAAGTCACCTGCACGAGCGCGAAGAATGATCATGAGGTTACGCCCGCATATTCTGCAGGAAAGGCTCCTGCACCTTTTGTCCAACCTGTCCAGCTGCCCAAAAATCCAACCTGAGCCGACCGCCAAACAAAGGCGGCTCATTTGACCGAAACTGCTGAATTGCCCGAATGTAAAGCAGAGTGAGCTGAGCAAAGCTACTGGTTGAAGGTATTCAAAGCACGCGCTAGTACAGCACTAGTTACGAACACTCCCATACATTAGCCTGTGCTGCAATCGTCATCCTTGTGTGCCTGCACTGTGCCGGTGGGCTGGCTGCCCGGCTGACCTTCTTCCTGCGGGTAGGCCTCCTCCTCGTCGTCGTCCACCTCCACCTCCACCTCTACCTCCTCGTACTCCTCGTCGCCGTCATCGTCCCTGGAGAGCAAGCGGAAGAGGCAAACAGTCACGCAGATGTCTCGAACTATCCACCTAAACGAATGGTAGCGTTCTTGTCACGCCAAGACATGCTTGGGCCCTAAGACACTCTAAAACGTGCTGACACGAGAGTCTGGTCCTGGCTGTGCGTGTTCCACTCCCTGCCCGAAGAGTGCGGCTGCCCCGGCGGCTCACCCGTCGGTGCGCTCGTCTTCGGGCCCCAGCAGCTCCTTGGCGAGCTCCAGGTCGTCCTTGAACAGCGTGCGCGTGAAGTTGGCCAGGTCCTCGGAGAAAGCCGCAGTGCCGCCCAGCTTGCGGATCGCATCGCGTGCCTTGCGTAGGCCGTCCTCGAAGAACTGCACCCCGCATGCATCCCACATGTGAGATTCAGGCAAGCAAGGACGGTGCATGTAACGACCTCGAGTAGCCTCCAAGTCGTGAACAATTTAGAAAGTCAAGTCGACTCCCTGCACTCATTCAGGTCCAGGGCCCTCTGTTTCGAAACTGGCAGCCTCCTTTCCGCTTACACCAAGCGACTTGAGTATGCATCGTCAGCAGCCGCTGACCTCTTCGTCGAGCTCGTCGCGCCTGTTGTAGAAGGAGGCGTTCGCGTCGTCTTGCTCCATCTCCTCGTACGCCAGCTCCCACTCCTCCTCGGGGTTGGCCCCCACCTCCTCCGGCGCACCCGTCAGCACGGGCCGCCCGTTGTAATCCACCTCCGGCGCCAGGAACTCATCAGCCGACAGCCGGCCTGCACACAAGCACACGCGGCTCTGGTGCGCAGCACACAACGCACCAAAACTGAGCGGTTCAAAGACACAGACTAGTGCGGATCGCTTGGGCGATAGATGACTTCGAGGTGGTTCTCATCCAACGAATTCCATGGAAGGACATGATCGACAGAGGGCCAGAATACGGCAACCGCTCTTGATGGGCAACTGCGCCTCTCAAAGGGTGCCGTGTCGAACCTGGAGCTCATAACCACTTCAGACCTCAGCAACATAGCCGAGCCACTTACTTTCTAGAGTGGCTCTGTCGTCGGCCTTCCTCTCGGCGGCCTCTTCGAGCGTCTCGTTGGCACGGCCGTACCAGTCCTTCAGCGCGGCCTCCGTCTCGTCGTGCTGCTTCTGCGTCCGCTTGGCCTCGGGCTGGTCCATCAGCGCGGCCACCCCGCGCTGCAGCGCCTCGCGTGCGTTCCACTCCGCCTTCCAGAACGCCATCAGCTCCGGCTGCTCCTTCGCCAGCAGCAGGCCCTCCTTCCACAGCTTGTTCTCCAACCGGTGCAGCTCCGCCGTCTTGGGCACCAAGAACTCCTTCACAAATTGGTGCTCCGCAGACGTCATCAGGGAGTTGCCGCGCTCCACCTACATGCCAAGAAGAAACTTTGAGGGAGGCGCGATGGGCACTCCTATCTGGTGCCCAGACGTGAGCAAGGACGTGAAAGCAGTAGATATATCCGTCTCAAAGTGACATCCTCGGACCGAATCAATGCTCGACACAATCAGGATCTTGTGCCAGAATGAGCTCACAATGCGTATCAGCGACCAAAAAAGTCCAATGGAAGCAGACAATGCATCTTCCGACTACAAGCTATTCATGGGATATCAAGAGCACTCCGTGCAATTCCGGGCGGTGGCGCTCACGATTTGGGAGAACTCGTCTTGGGCGGCCACCACTTTACGCAAACTCGCAATGGTCGTCTCCAGGTCTTTGGGCTCCCGCACGCTGTCAATGAAGCGGTTTACCTCCGCCTCGTTGGCTGTGAACTCGTTCTCGCCAGGCTGTAGAGAGAAAGCACCCAAGTAAGCCTGGGCCGGCGAAGGTGCTTCAAGTATGCTGTTGAGGCAGAGCAGTAATCGTAGTGAAGCTCCTGGCGGTAAGGTACAACACAGCCGCGACCAGACTCTATCCAAGCACCTTTTGCCAGCTGTGCGGCAAGTTAGCAGCCTTCTTCCTGTTATTTGCGATGCCAAGGCTCACCAGCCAACTTTCGGGGGCGTCCTTGAGCTGTCGGGGCAGCTTTTCGTAGCTGCGCGGGTGATGGTTCTTGACCAGGTTCTTCAGCACCTGCTGCTTGCGCTGCTCCACCGCAGAGTCGAAGTTAACTGACGACCCCGGGGGGGGTAGCTCCGATGGCGCGGGCACCGAGCGGGCCAGCTGCTTCACCTGGCCTGCCACCAGGCCCCGCACCGCATCGCTGCGCTCGTAAATGGACAGCTCGGGCGTCCACTCGGGCTGGTCGGGGTCGTCCCAGATGGTCGCATCTTCCCCAGCGTCGGTGTCACCATCGGGCGCGCGGGTCTTGGGGGCGAACACGTACTCAGCCTGGTCGGTACCGGGCGCCAGCTCCATGTTTAGCATGTTGAATACGCGGCCCGTCATCTGGGCCACCACCAGGCGGGCGGCGAGCTGCTCCTTGAAGTCCGCCGGCTTCACCTGAAGGTCGAACAGCGGGTGCTCCGCCAGCGCCTCCAGCCCCGCCTCCGCCGTGGTTGCGGAAAACGGAGCCGCAATCTGGGCCGCCTGCGCCGCTTTCTCTCTCCACCCTGGCGCCTCGGAGTCCAGGATGCGTGTCTGCAGCTCGCTCAACCACTTGACTCCTTTCTGCTCGGCGGCCTCCCACTCTGTGCTGCCGCTTCCTGCCCTGCTGTCCTTTGGCTGAATAATCGAGTCCGGACGATATACCCCGCTGTACGCATCCGCTGCCAGATCCCATGCCACAGCTCCTTCCTGGAAGATGGGGTCGGTAGGCGCGGACCCGTCGTAGAGTGGGGACTCGGGGTCGCTGCGCAGGCGCGCCAGCAGGTTCTCCTTTCCAATGCGGAAGGGCAAGGGCAGAGTGGGGCTGCCCTCCAGGCCCGCGGCCGGGAAGGGCGCCGGGGGCCGCAGCAGCGGCGCCCACAGGATGTGGCCGCGCGGCAGCTCGCCCTGCAGGCCCAGCTCCTCCTGCGCAGCACGCTCGAGGTGCACCAGCAGGGGGTACTTGTCCAGGTTCCCGTTCTCAAATGCGTCGCGCAGGGCCGCATCCCACTCCTCTGCGCGCTTCCTGCGCCGTTCGCTTCCCAGCGTGCGCAGTGCTTTTGCGGCCTTATTTAGGTCCCAGCCGCCATCTGGTGCCGCAATTTGGGCCCGCAGTTGGCGGGTGACCTCCGCCTCCACGCGCTCGATTTGGAGCTCGGCCAGCAGCTCTCGCGCGCGCCTCTGTGCAATGTCGACCGCATCCAGCCCGTCGTGCAGCTCCAACGGAGGCACCTCCTGCCGCGGCGGCGTGGGGGGCGCCTCGCCAGGGGCCGGCAGGGCCAGGAAGCGGCCTCCCTCCCAGGCCTTCTGCTCTTTCTCAGCCTCGGCGTCACGCTGCTTCTCCAGATCGGCCAGCTTGGCCAGGAAGCCCTTGAGCACCGGGGGAGTCGCCTGGTCCTGCAGCAGCAGCTCGTCCACGCGCACCGGCTGCGGTTGCTGGGCACGTGCTGCCAGCTGCTCTTGGGGCTCCACGTCCAGGCGCTGCTCGGCAGCCACCCACTTGGCCAGCCACGTGTCAAAGATGCGCGCCTGCTCGGGCTCGCCCGGGCCGTACTGCTCCTCCCACTGGGCGAAGAAGTCAGCGAGGGCGGCCTCAAGGCGTGCGTCCAGGGCCAGCTCACGGTTGCGCAGGCCCGAGATGAGGCGCTTGTGGGCCAGCACCAGCGGTTCTGCACATGCAATACGGGAGGGTTAGGGACCAGGCCAGTCAGACGAAGTGGGGAGCAGCTTGACCATCTAAGTAGTCCTTCCTGCAAATCAAGAGGGTCTTCTCTTCGGACCTGAGACAACCACTGCTTTCAGGCCGAGAAAACTTGAAAACGCGAGTCGATGCTGCTGCCGACAGCACCCGACAATGCCTTCGGCACCCACCGTCCAATTGGGTTGGCCGAAACGAGCCAAGCGAGCAAAATCAGTTCTTAAGCCGCCACCTTGTGGGCCAGCGCCGGCAAAGCGTACGGCTGTAGGAAGCCGGCCAGAAAGGTAGCCCTCACCGTAGGTCACTCCGAGCAGCTGGAAGGCCTTGCTAGCCTCCCTGTCCTCCTTCACAACGCGCTCCCACTTGAGGTCCATGATCTTCTTCTCCAGCCGCTCCAGCCGCTTCACACTATCTTCCTCCCCCTCCGGGCCTTCGATCTGTGCGCGCGCGTCCGCCGCCAGTGCTGCCTCGTCGTCTTCGTCGTCCTCCTCGCCCTCCTCCGCTGTGAGCCGTCCCTTGGTTCTCTGCGCAGCGTCACGCGCCCTGTCCAGCTCGACGTCCTGCAGCTCGCGGAACGTCTCCTTCACCCGCTCGCTGTAGTCTTCGGCGCCCGGCGCCGCGGGCACGGGCAGCACGGGTCCCACGTGGGCCTCTTCCATGGCCAGCTCCAGCTCCACGAGCGCCCCCGGCTGGCTGTACGTGGACTCCGCCAGCAGCTTGTCCAGCCGCGCCTCGGGGTCCAGCGCAGCCTTCTTGCGCTCCAGCGCCTCGCGCAGCTCTAGCCGCTCCTGGTTCTCCTCGTGCGTGAATGTCGCATCAAACTCGGCATCTTCCTCCGCATTCCGTGCCGCCTCCAACCGGCGCTGGATTTCGTCACGAATGGAGCGGGACTCCTCAGCTGCAAAGGGAAGAGGGGGGTGGAGGATTAGGAAGGGGTCTCGGATGAGCAGCCCAAAAACTTGCATCCAACAAAAGAGACGCCTGGCAGGATGTTGCTGTGAGTACAAAGCGAGGAGAGGGTACTGGACTCGCTAGAACCGGACAGATTTTCCCAAAGAGGAGATGATGTAGACTGAGAGACGTTCTCACCACAACTCTGTAATGGAAACGCAGTGAGCATGATATGAAACAACAAACCCATCAGGCTGCATCGGCTGAGCAGAGGCTCTCACCCAGCTCCTCCTCCGTCTTGCCAATCGGCCTGGGCTCCCACTCGTGGATGGGGCGCTTCTTGTCCTCCTCTGCCTGGTCGCCCCAGAAGCGGCTGTCCAGCTTCGTCGCCTGCAGCTCGGCCGCCTCGCGCCGCGCCAGGTCCACCACATTGGCCACGTACGTGCTCGCCTCTTCCACCATCAGCTCGTCCTGCTCGCGCCGGATGTCCTCCGCCAGCTGCGCCCGTTCCGCACGCAGCCGCTCTAGCGAGTCCTGGTACTCCAAGTTACCCTCCGCCTCAATCACTTCCCCGCCAGGCCCGACTGCCACACGCGGCGCCGCATCCGCCGTCCATTCCAGCTTGCTGCGCACGGGCAGCTCTTCCAGGTATTCAGCATAGGCTTCAACCGGGGTCGGGGAGGAAGCGGGGCGCAACCAGTTACCGAACGGCAGGATGCCGAGGAACTTGCTGGCCCCGCGGAGGGGCGCATGACCGGCTTTGGAGGCCGCGCTCATGACTGCCTCCGCTGCTTCTGCGGGGGTGTTCACTGGTGGCAGAGGGTTGGAGATGTGGCCAGGAGGGTGGGCGGGAAGAAGCGGGGGCCGAGCGGAGGAGGGATTCTCGAGAGGCGCGTCGTTGGGAACGCGCGAGTAGTTCTCGAGCAGCCGGCTGAACTCGAGCAGCTTCTCCGTGGCCTCCAGCTCCAGATTGTAGAAGCGCTGCGCGTGCTTCTGCGTCCTTCTCAGCTCGTCTGGAAGCATCCCACGCAGGACCAGGGCGCTCTCCGGCTCGTCTTCCCTGTCCGCCATCGTTTGAATCGTCGCGCGGTCCGCCTTCTCCTGCCACCCCTTGGGCTCCTCCCCGCCGACGACTTCCTCCTCCCCCGGCAGGAGTGCCCTTTCCCGGCCCATCTGCAGGCGCTCCAGGCGGGCCTTGCGCTCCACGTCGCTTAGGTCCAGGCCGCCCATGTTGCCCTCGTTGGCCGGGACCTCCTCCACCGCCACTGCTCGCAGCCGGCGCTCCCGGATGGTGTTGAGGCGCAGCTGGTACTCGTCCTTGACCTTGCGCAGGTAGTCGCGCTGCGCATCGTCCAGCGTGAGGGGCAGCCCCGGCAGGCGCTTCAGGCGCAGCGCGGCCTGCAGCTGGTCGTTCAGCTCCTGCAGAGCCTCCTCCGCGCGCCGCAGCACCCGCTCCTTCACCTTCTGTGCGTACTCTGGGCTGTCCTTGTCCGGAGCGGCGCGCATCGGCTGAGTCTCCAAACGTAGCAGGTTCACTGGAGGGGGCTCCAGGGTCTTGCCTGCCTCGAACCTCTGCCGGCCTGCATATCAGGAGCAGTTGTCAGCACAAGCGCCATCTCACATGAACGACGTGAAGCCAAAGACTGCTTGGAGCCTGATTGAAGGTCGCCAGCTTTTACGGAAGAGGGATGTGAGCGCTTCAGAATAGCAATTCCAATTGCAAAAAGGGGAGGGAATCACTCACTTTCTCGGAGGAGCGTTTCTGGGATCGCTTCCAACAGCAGCTCCCTGGCCCGTTCCACGGTCATGGGTTGTGTGCGCCCGTCCTCGATCTGCAATGAAGAGGCAGGTGAGGGCAACGGAGGAAGGAACCACCAACTCAAGCCAACTTCGAACTTCGATAGAATGTCAAGATGTTTCTTTGAAGCACCAAGGGCACCAGAATTTGTTTCGTAGATTTTAGCTGCGGAAAGATGCACCTAGCAGAAGGGCACCTGTAGTCAAGGTGGTATAGTAGCTTCTGACCTGATCATCAACCCCAATGAGGCCTTCGTCCCCATACTTGTCCACGAACTGGACGGTCGCCTCAATGTCCTCCATCTGCAGCGGCGGGGCCTTGCCCTGCGCCAGCAGCGTCAGCAGCTGCCCAGGCCCCAGCTGGCGGCCGGATGCCAACTCCCGCAGCTCCCGCACACTGGGGATAATGGCGCCACGGGCGGCAGCCGACAGCCTGCAGGGACAGAGAAAGACAGTCAAAAAGAGACCAGCAAGAAGGCAACGCTGGCATGGCCGACAATTGCAAGATAACACGCAGTTTGCTTGACGCCTACTATATCAAGACACAACCCTGCGCTCCGGTCCCGCATGCAAACATACGGTGCTCCTGACCGCATCATTGCTGCTCACCTGAGCTGCTCGTGCACGTCATCGGTGTCCGTCTTGTCGGCCTGCTCTGCGAGCTCCATGAGCGGGGACGGCTCTCCGAAGTTAACCTGCACCAGCTGCTGCTGCTCCACCGCCTCAATCGCCGTCCACTGCTGGTGCCAGTCAGGGTGCTCCTTCCCCGCGTTCTTCCACCCGTCCAGCCAAGCCTCGCGCTCAGCGTCCATGCGCTCCACGCGCGCGCGGTACTCAGGAGGGACCTGCCACGAAAGAAGCAGCCATGAGTACATATCTGTTTGATATATGTGGGTTTTCACCGATGCAACTGCTAACCGGTAAATTGCAGTGGCCTATGAGAACAAGTTGCCGCGAGTTGGTGCAAATTCTTGAAAGATACCACTTCCTTTCAAGGTGAGGCAACTTCTAGTTTGCTGGCATTACCTCGTAGAACTTGTGTATGGGCCCTGGTGCGCGCCACTGGTCGCCATCGTCATAGAAGTATGGGTGCTGCCACAGATGTGGCTTCTCATGGACGACGGTCACTGCAGACACCAACAGCAATGGTCAATCCAGGGGCTGTTGAACAAGTCATGCCCACAAGTATGGCAGCCCAGAGCCTTAAAAGCGAGGGGGAAAGGCTTGTCAGAGCGCTCAATGAACAGACGGGTCAAACACACATGATCCGCATTGGAGCTGCAGCAATGCAGTGGAGATGAGGCGTGAGGAAGAGTGACTTCGATTTGTCCCCGCAAACCTCCTGCTATCGCCCACAAACCACACATCAACACTCTTTCAGGAAGACTGCCAGGAGGGGCACTGAAGACATCAATCTGCGAGTTGGTCCCTTAGATTGGGGTCTACATAGGCGAACTAAAGTGCTTCGTCAATCACTGGTTCTCACAGAAGCTATCCACCACAGAAAAGAAAGCTGGCCCTTACTGTCTTGGGGCTTGTACTGAAACATTTTCGCTTTCTGAGCAGCGAGCTGGGCAAGGCGCATGTGAAACTGCAACACAATTGGAATGTTAGTAAAAGCTGAGGCTTCAATCCTGAAAGAAAAGAGCAGTTATGCGAGACTTTAACCTTCCTTGCAAACAAGCCAGCAACTCCAGATGGGCAACAAGCAGGCTTCCCAATTGATGCAATTGACAGCAGAGTAGACAGAGAACTCACATCTGCTTCTTGGTAAGTGCACACCGGGAAATTCCCAATGTAAGCTCCCCGGCGCCACTCTCCCTGCACAGTGACACCATGGTGATGTGCAGGAAAACGGCTATGTGTCTTACACAGCAACGGCCCAGCCACTGGTTGGATAATAGCATGACCTCTATGCAATCATTGCTACTCGATGGCAGCAATCACACATGGCCAACAGAGAGGGGCCTTACCGCAAGGGAGGTTCCATCGCTCCAGACCATAACCCCGCAACCCTCAGGTGTGTCCCGATACCACTGGCCAGAGTAGGTCCCCACCAGATTGTCGGCCCTGAGAAGAAGCGAATAGGTGCGCGCACTGAGCACACGTGCTGACGACCACACGAAGGACAATTGATTGCCTTCGGGACAGCCAATGACGCCAGCAGCCTTCGCAAAAACTATGGGCGACTCAAGCTGCAGACCTGAGCACATGGTGGTAGCCTTTGCTGACAAGCAGAACCTCTACCAAGTGTCCTTCAAAGGCTACAGCAGAGGCACATCAGAGATGTCAGAGGAGCTTTGCAGAAGCAGGGCATTTGCCTGCTCTCCGCCAAGTGTTGAAACAGCATTGCAAGAGCGATGCCCCTGGCGGTCAGTCAGCAGGCTCACGTTGTCCACTGGTAGATGTCAGGGAAGGCGCCGTGCTTGCCGCGCAGCTCCCCATCCTCCGGGCGGATCCAGCCCGGCTCCTCGTCTTTGTCATGCAGGTAGGCAAACCTGCGCTTGCCGGTGTAAAAGGGGTGCCTCTTGTCCCAAAACTTGTCACTCTTGTCCAGGCTGTCTGCAGCGTCTACAGTGGACGGATCATCAACGTCCGTCTTGTACATGTCTTCATCGTCCACCGTCTTGATGTGCTCCCGATTGATCCACGTCTGAGTGCCATGGCCCTGCCGGAGGCCGCCCCACCACTCACCGGCATACCTGCCACAGGGACATGGCCAGAATCTAAGAACTGGTACTTGCCCATGTCATGTCAAGGGCAACGCTGTGAGATGATGCTTAGAATCGGATTCCCCCTGCAATGCAGGCGCTTTGTGCTAGACGACCTCAGCGCCGCTGCAAATGGAGGTTTCCTGACTTATGATGGTACGCTCGTCCCAAGCAGGAAGCTGACAAACGGCAGACAAACACTGGTTGCTTTCAACTGTAGTTGCTCATGGCAGGAGTTGGAGCCCAAGTGCTGCATGACTCACTGGTCCCCCAGCAGGTCTTGATGTACACCCCTGCCCATGATGTACTCGCGATACACCAGGTTGTATACCAGGGTGGAGCTGTTCTTGTTGGTCACTCGCAAGGGGGCATCGCTGTCCGGGGGGCCACCCTCCGGCTGGTTCATGCCAAACACTTGCTGACTGCGATATACATCCAGCGTCCCTTCATACCTGCATCAACAACAAGTGCAATGTGGCGCTTATGGATGCTGCAGCAGCAATGGCCCACGACTCTGGTAATGGCTATTCCACCTTGCGAAAAAGCAACGAATGCTTTGCTTTTGACGATCCATGTTGCTTCCGCTGGCACGAGCCGCGGTAGAGTCCTGCTGATATGAACGAATTTGATGCATGTTCTGCATTCATTGCAGGACAACTGTGCCTAAAAGCTTGTCAAAATTGACTCCAAATCAACGAATACAACATCCAGCCAGCAGGGCGACGTGACCTGGCGCCAACTTCAAACCGGACCAGAATTACACTACTACCTTTTGCAAACACCTTCTCACATTGCTCTTGTCACCATCAGCTTGCGTAGCAATGCTCATCAAACGAGCAACACCAATCATCACAGGCGGTTCGAAAGGGTGCTGAAGCAATTGAGCAAGTGATGAACCCAGAAGTTACCGGCAAAAGCGCTACACAATTTGGCTCCTGTATCACTCACTTGGCTCCTTTTCTACCGTACACACACTTCCACTCTAGGCCGCCTTCATGGGGAACTTCTATCCCATATTCGGGGTGCAGGACAGGGAAGGACTCCGGGTCCTTGAGCTCCTCCTCCGCCAGCTCCGCCACCAGCTTCAGAGACTTCATTTCATGCGTGTCAGGTCGATTCTGCTGAGTGATCTGATCCTGGGTGGAAGCAGTAGCCTCCGCATCCTCGTCCTCTTCCTCATCCTCCTCATCCTCCATTGAGTACATGTCATCGACCTCTTCCAACCACTCTTCAGCACTCTCCACCCACAGCGCTTCTTCCGCTGCCTGACGGATGCGCTCAGCATCGTCGCGATCGGCTGACAGACCAGCATTGGGCTCAGGGAGGCTGCCATTTGCGGGTGGCTTTTTCGGCGCCATCGCTGACGGAAATGGTTACAAGACCTCGTCGGTAAGACCCTCTGCAATAACCCACGCCTTGTCTACAACGGGATAAGCTTCATAGCTCTGGCCTCGTGCTTCATAATAACAATGCAACTCTCTACGCCATTCCACCACCGTCCACACCACGTCCATCAACCAATCTCCTAGCTCGTTCTCCGTGCAGCAAAGCCAGAGGCAGAGGGCTGAACTGGCAAGAATGGGTGCACGACACAGTCACTGAAGACTGAAGTTTGAACCACGAGGCATGTTTATCCTGGGCTGGATTTTTGGCATGGCTTTCATTTGCCTTTTCACACGCTGCTTTTTGCCAACGTGGCCGGAAAGGAGGCCAGGGTATTGGTTCACGCCAGCGTGGCATCCTTCCTGGAAAGCGTGCAGCTTCTCTACCGTCGATCAAAGGCCCTCACCGTGGTCCAGATTCCGAGTTCGCTGGCCAGTCTGGGAACTTAAAGTTGAAGTTGGTGGGACCGGAATCCGCCGGACAGGGACGGCCAGCATTCAGTACCAAGGCTTAGCAGCAGCATGCAGTGCAAAATGCAGCAGCACAGCGCACAACTTCATAGTGATCACAGAAGACGAGAAATCCCAACTTTCATCAAGTGCATGCAACTTTCAAGCTTTATGAGGCACAAACAAGTTGGTGGAGAGCTCTAACTGGTGTCTGAGCAGCGGGTTGCGGCACCGGCTGCTACATGACTGATTAGTGCAAGCTACGGGCATTAGAAGTTGATCAGAAAGGGGAGAATGCTGAACGGGCTGAGTGGTAGTTGTCTTCCCAGCTTCCCAATGTTTGACCCTGGGCGGACATCACAAGAGGGCTGAAATCTTTTACACGATGTTCGAGGCCCATGTGAGATTTTCACCAGCACTGGGAATTTAGTGAAGGTTGTCTTGTTGTGCGATACAGTGCGTCTGTAACAACTTCACTAGCTTGTGGGCTTGTGCTTGATGTGCATTGCCTCCTTGGGTTTCTCTTTGATATAATGTTTTGAAGGGTTTAGATTCGTTTTGTAGGTGCTGCACATGCTGCAGCGGTACCTTGGTGAGTACGTCCGGGGTCTCTCCTTGGAGGCACTGAAAATTAGCGTGTGGCAAGGTGAGGGGCAAATGGAAGACCAGCTAGTTTCAGAAGGATGGGAGACCAGCGCTTTGTAGATGGGGCTATACTTCAGAATTGCCCGTGATCTTGAAAAGTCCAGAGCGAAACGGCCCAAGACTATCCATATCCATATGATGGAAACGTTATGGAATCCGACATTATTTGATCAGGTCCGTCTGCCCCATGATTCCAAGTTCACCTCTGACCTCGATTTTGTCTGTTTGAACTCGATGTACCACCGCCGGCGTCCTTCAGAGTTGGGGGTTGCAAGCACAGAAAGATAGATAATGCAGCTATGCTCTAGTCGCGCCACTCATCAATCAGCTCAGAAATAAGTCATTGCATGCAACCTTCGAAACCCATAGTATGGAGTATCCCAATTGGTTTATCGGCAACAGTGAGTTGTGCTTCTAGATCTGGGGTGTAGACCTGTGGAGGCTGCTATCTGATCCCTGTGAAGTTGAGGTCCTAAGATAGTCCTCAGGTCAAATCAAAGCCGTGCGCGGTCTTGCAGGAGATGTGGTGCTCAAAGATCTCCAGCTTAAGGCTGAAGCTCTCAACGCCCTCAAGCTCCCCATCATTGTCAAGGCTGGCTTCCTTGGGTCCATTCGACTTAAGGTGAGCAGGCGTGGGCAGGCATAGAATTTTCAGAGGAGAGGCTCTCTCTTGAAGCATCCTGTTGAGATGGATGGCCGCCTTTGTTGCAACGTCAAGTTGTGCCCCTCAGAACCTGATTGAAGGTCTTGACGAGGTGCGTTTTGCAGGTCCCATGGAACCGCCTTGGCAAGGAACCGGTCGTCGTCCTCTTGGACAGAATCTTCATTCTGGCTGAGCCCCTGGTGGAGGCCTATACTGGCGGAGACGATGACGAGGAGAAGAAGCGAGAAGCAAAGCGCCGCCGAATCGAGGTCTGTAACTCCAGCCAACTTCAGAAGCGAGGGGTCCTGGATCACTCGCTGTAGGAGTTGGGATACATATATTTCTTCCGGGTAGAGGGCAGACATGCTTTATCGACGCTGGCTTGTCCTTCTGCAATTGTAGAGCCATCAGATGGATTATCTACTGAGGTGCTTCGGTCATTCACGACTTTCCTGAGGGTCCTGTAAATTGATTGCCTTGCCTTCTTGCAGGAGGCCGAGTTGGCCATGCTCGAAGCAAGGGACAAGAAAGCTGCACCTGCGGCACCCGAGGTATGGCCCCTGCATGTGCCCAACGATGCGGCTTGATCAAGGTCATGAGGTGTGTCCCCATGCAGAGAAACTAGCCCAAGTGATGCACTGAGTCACTGCGTTAGCTCACGCGGATTTGGCTGTGCCATTGCAAACCTGAAACCCAACCAACGTGTTTTGTCTCAGGGAGGCTCCTGGATCGGTTCTCTTTTAGCCACAGTTGTTGGCAACTTGAAGTTGTCCATCACCAACGTTCACATCCGATATGAAGACACCACAAGGTGAGTGCACACATCACTTTGCAGAGTCCCCTGAAAATGATCAAGAGTTCTTCTGGACTATTGGAATCGAGTCCTCCTTGTCAGAATCATATGTTCTTTGTTCTCAACTTGGTGCGGATCTTTACTGCGCTTCTCAAGGTAGACTTTCTGCATCTTGTCATGATGCTGATCCGTTCCTTCCGACTGCACCAGTAACGTTGGACACCCTTTCTGTGCGGGGATTACTCTGGCCAAGCTTGCCGCTGTCACCACCGACGACAACGGGGTGGAGACTTTCGTTGCCAGTGGCGCACTTGACCGGCTCAGAAAGGCAAGTTGCAGAGCTGGAAATGCAAACCCTGTGGAACCTGCCCTGGAGTCGCTGCAAGAAGCCATGCGGAGATTTGTCGTAGTTCGAGTCCGGTCAATAGCCTGCTTTCGTTCGTTGCAGGAGAGTCGGCTAGAGCACCTATCGGTCTGTAAGATAGGTGTGCAAGTATTCTCGTGCATATGAACTCACAGGTTGCGTGTCACGCTTCCTCCAGGCTGTTGAGTTGGAGCGGCTTGCTGTCTACCACAACCCAAACAGCACACCATGGAAAGTGTCCCGCAAGTGGGAAGACATGTCACCTGGAGAGTGGAGCGAAGTGAGTGGACGATCGTCTGCCTGACAGAAAAGGCGATGTCTTCTTAGAGTCAATCACTTAAATAAGCTGAGTACGTGGTTGTTCAGAACTTGCAGTACGAGGAGGTTGTGGTGATGAGATGTGGGAGCCCTTGGGTTAGGCCGCTCAAGGCACGCCTCACTTGTGGAACCTCTTGAATGTGATGTCCGCTTCCCTTTCTACATTGGTGTGCTTCAAAGCTGATGTTCTGCTACCGCAAGGGGGCATGCTTGGTACATCTGCAAGTATATCTCTACTCAGAGCTCACCCGACTCCCTCCTAAAAGCAGACTTGGATCGGAAGGAAGACGATCAAACAATCTTGCGTTCCATTTGAAGCAGAAACTTTCACCCACGAATTTTGCAAATTTTGAAGGTTTCCCCTACTACTACCTGAAAAGCGTGAGGCAAGCGAAGATGAACGTGTCCTTGCTTGTCTGCTTGTCTTTTACATGCTCGTCTTTCTAGTCTGTTGAGTAAGATAGCGGGTACGCTGCAAACTTCTCTGAACGGCGCAATACTAGAGAACTCCTCGGGCATCATCTTAGATCTGCCAGCAACAGGACTTTCGTCTAGCCTACATGAAAGTCTGACCGTTTTGACGCCCCGTGACCAGATTTTCGAGCCTGGCATCTCTGGCGGCAGCGTGGAGAGCCGCCCCCGCCCCGGCCTGGCGGAGGCCCTCCCGCAGGTGGACTGGGCCGCGGGGCGGCAGTACCTGCTGCAGCCCATCGGGGGCAAGCTGCAGTACCTGCGGCGCGGCAAGCGGGACGCGCGCCTGCCCCACGAGCCGTTCCAGAGGGTCGCCGTCGTGCTGGACGAGGTCGCGCTCACCGTGTCGGAGGTGAGCCACCGCAACTGGAGATGAGGGGTTGAGGACGCCTGCGCCAGGTGGCCGACACTGCCCCTTGCGAGAACAAACGGAGCTCCAGTCCCTTTCTGCGACTCTTAGGATGCTCGAAAATTCGCCACTCTGCGCTATCTCTGGTTTCCGATCGTCTGTCTCCTTATTGCAGGCGCAATACTGTGATGTCGTCAAGATGATGGAGCGCGTCTCGGAGTACCGGGCTCGGAGCCAGTACGCAGCGTTGCGGCCCCGTGTCCCGGTCCACGCGGATCGGCAGGCCTGGTGGCAATTCGCATACAAGGCGGTGTTGCAGGACCGGAATCTGTACAGGTTTGTCACGAAGTTCCATCCGATCTGAATTGCAGCATTTTGCGTTCGCTCGTATGTCCTAGCCATCCGGCAGGATCGTCGGCGTCGCTTCACTAGGTTGCTCCTTGCCTTCTTAGTGTGGCTTCGGTTTTCTGTTGCCTTTTTTGGGCCGCAAACCCAGCTTCTCGTGACTGGCCGCTGTGCTTTCGCAGGCGGCATATGTCGTGGCAGGGTGTTCAGACTTTGTGCGAGAAGCGGCGGCGATACATCGGCCTGTACAGCAGCAGCCTGCAGTCTGGAGCCGCAGTGGGGTCCAAAGTGCAGAATCAGGAGATCAGGGATTTTGATAGCCAGCTTGAACCTGAGGTGAGGCGGCCATGTGCATCCTGTCGATTGATTCAGGTCGATCAATTGAATGCTGGCGGTTACTACCCGGCTCTGCAAGCGAGATTATACACTTGAGCGAATGTAGAGTGACGTCAAGTGAACGTTCTTTTCCGGCTGGGGAAATCAAGCGTGCACGCTCGTCACCTGTCCTGATGGAGCCCGTCTTCTGGTGTCGCTGTTAGCCGTTTGCTGCATGGAACGAGTCTGGCCGGGCTGGCACGCTGACGCACGCGTTGGCTGCCCCGCTGCAGGTGATCATGGTGTGGCGCCTGCTGGCGCACGCCCAGGTGGAGACGGCCAAGCAACGCGAGGCGGCTGCGGAGCGCGAGCGCCTGCGTGGCAGCCACTGGTGGTCCTTCGGCTGGGGCTCTGGCGCGCAGCAGCAGGAGGCGGGCGACGACGGCGGCGAGGCGGGCACGCCCAAGGGGCTCACCGCGGCCGAGTGGGCCAAGATCAATGAGCTGCTCGAGTTTCAGCCGGGGGAGGAGCGGCTGGAGGACCTCACGGGCGGCGAGGCGCCCAACATGCTGGCCACCGCCGTGGACGTGACCATGCGCCGGAACGCTGCGCGCATGGTGAACGCGCAGGGGCAGCGGATCCTGGAGGGGGCGTTCGAGGGCTTCAAAGTGGGCCTGCGGCTCTTCCCCAAGACCGTGGAGGCGCACGTCAAGCTGGACTCGTACGGGCTGAGCGCGCCAGAGGGGACGCTCGTCAAGGTGAGCCTCTGGTAGCGGCCTGCCTCATGGCGCTCGAGAACGCTGATTTGTCGAAATAGGTCTGCGATTTGCGGAGACAAGCTTTTTTCTCGCTGGCTGCATATTCTTGCACTGGCCTTCTTGCTGTCGAGGGGCGAGTTTAAGCTCAAGGTGCAGACTTCTAACGGGCGAGACGACATTGGTGGAGAAATCGGCTCATTGCATCGCCTGAGCCCCCTGTATCATTCGTGCAGAGCGTGCGCCAGGAGGGCCGCGACGGGGCACTGACTGCCCGCTTCGTGCATGCGCCGCCCGGGGACCGCGCGCTCGACTGGAGCCTGTCCGCCGGTGTGGCTCCCTGCCAGGTCACCCTGTGGAAAGCCAGCCTGGACCGCTGTGTTGCTTTTGTTCAGGCGGGCCACGCGGTGAGCCCGGCAATGAGCCTGGAAACTGCCGCGGCGCTGGAGAGCACGTTCGAAGCTGTGCGCAAGTCCGCCCGCGAGCGCGTTGCTGCTGCGTTGGAGAAGCGGCTGCGCTTCGCCATTGACCTGGACATCGACGCCCCGAAAGTCGCCATCCCCGTGGCCGCCGCCGGGGAGGAGCGAGTCCCGCGCACGCAGCTCCTGCTCGACTTCGGCCACTTCACTCTACGGACCGACCCCGAGGAGCGCCCCGATGACCTGACCCCCGAGGAGCTCGGGCTGTACTCGCGCTTCCGGGTGCGCGCCAGCGACATCTCTGCGTGGCTGGTCGATGGCGCATACGACTGGGCGCAAAGCCGGCTGGACGGGACCACGCAAGGGGAGGCCGGCAGCAGCGGGCCAGCAATCGCGCAGGCCAGGATCCTGCCCGTGCTGGACAAGTGCGGCCTGGCAGCGGCGGTGCATCAGGTGAGCGGAAGGGGGCGCAGCCAGTCGCCTCGTCCTGCCTGAATAAAGGCCTTCCGCTCTCTGCGCCTAAGAAATGCGGGGCAGCCGCCATCTATGGACGACGTTTGCTTGTAGCCGAGGAGCTTCTCGAGAGTTGAATAGCGACCCCTTTTCCGTTGCTCTCAATTCTGGGTTCAATTGTTAATCCGCAGCGTTGTTAGTATTCTCTTCTTTGAGGATCTTCTCCGCTTGTTCACCTGACAAACAGCGCTTCTTTCCTGTTGGCAGATCCACACAACGCACGCTTCCCACCCGACCACCCGCATCGCTGCCCGGGTGCCGACCCTCGGCTTCCACTTCTCCCCGGCCCGCTACGAGCGTCTCATGGCCGTTATGCGGACGCTCTTCCCTCTGGAGGACCAGGCAGATCTTACCACATATTTGGGGGCTCCATCGCTGGCGTTCAGCAAGCGCGACCATGCTGGAAAATTGCAAGTTCTGACGTGGACGGTGAGCATAGCCGGCCATTACGATTTTATTTACTGTGTTCTTCCTTTTGAGAGCCGCCTTCACAAGCAGGTCGATGTTAACAAGTCTTACTCGTCAATCAGAACCTTGTAAGGGACCGTTCAAGAATGGTAAAGAACGCACTAGTGTCGCCTATCAGAGTCGTTCCTCAACACGCCGAATCTGCACCGAGTCAGATGCAAACGAAGTTCTCCGCATGAGAGAGGATTCGTCGGCGGCACTGGCGGTGCTGTCCTTCCACCCATTCTTGGACTTTCAGACTTTGTTTGTCCAACTGCACGGACCGTCTGCACCTGCCGGTCTGGACGTGAAGCTGTCCGCCGTGCCTCTTTGGAAGTATACCCACCTGCGCCCCAAGTAACGTCACAAATACCTGCGTATTTCGAAAGAGAAAGCAAGTGGTCTCAGATGTGTCTTGCGGTGGTGCAGGGCATTGGTAAGACCGTGGCCCAGTGGCAGCAGCGCTACGCGGTGCACGCCGGGATGTACCTGTACCTGCTGGAGGGCGAGGCGGCGCGCAGCTACATGCGGTACAGCACCCTGTACGGGAAGCAGCTGGTGCCCGTGCCGCCGGCAGCCATCGGAGGCTGGGACCATGTCGTCGCGCTCTGCGACCGGGGCGCCGACCTCTCCAAGGTGAGCACGGCAGCGGCTGGACACCGACACCAAAGCTTTTCATGAAAGCCAGAGCTCCGCGCACTTCTGGAGAGTCAGGTTAGAAGTATGACTTTGCAAGATTTTGCCGATCCGTGATTCTTTGCATGTTTTGGATCCGTGGCACAGACAAGGACGGGCGTGACTCCAGAACCAAGACAAACAAGACACTCATGACGAGAACTTCTTGTTGATTTCCTTGCATCCATGTGCAGGTGGCTGAGTCTATCCATTCCCTCGTTCTCCGCTTCGACTCGGCGGATGCCCTGTCCGCCTGGACCAGCAGCCTGAACCAAGCCATCTACCGCGCCTCTGTCCCTCTGCCCCTCACCATCGTCGGCGAGGGCCTGGAGCCGGCCAGCGACGAGGAAGACGCCGAGCCGGTGGATGCGGCCGCGGTCAAATCGGTGTTCTTCATTGGCGTCCTGGAAGAGCTGACGGTGTCCCTCAGCGCTCGAGCCACCATTGCGGGCGCCATAAACCGAGACAGGTAGGCAAAGCGTTCAGCTGCAATTGCCTCTCAACGCAGCAGCGGGCTGGATCGTGCAGAACACCACAATATGTGCTCGCCTGTTTGCACTGGTGCTTACTCTGTTCTTCCGATGGCCTCACTAGCACGGACGCTGCATGTTCAGCATGTGGAGACTGCTAGCCTCGGCCTCCGTAGAGACGCTGACGCATTTTGCTTGCTGCGCAGGTGGCAAGAAGCGGTCATTCTGCAGATGCGTGCGCTTGGCGGCAAGGTGGAGCTTGTAAAGCGCATCTTCGATCTGTCCATTGGTGTCGGCCTGCACTCATTAGAGATCGAGGACGTTCTGTACGGCCACAACGGCCCCCGCTGCCGGTACATCGCCCGCTCCCTCCTGGAAGCTGAAGGAGAGCAGGACGGCCCCGCCTCCCCCCCTCGCATACCCCCCCTGCAGAAGCTGCCAATCAAACTCCCGGAGCGACGCATCATTCTGGAGGAGAGTGTGGGGCCCGATTCGGATGACGACGGGTTCGCAGACGCACTCGAGGATTTCGCCGGTTCTCCAGATTCGGTGGCTTCCCGGCGCACCAATTTCCAGTCCCCGACGTTCTCGGACCGTCTCAACTTTGACGCCGCTGACGACGCGTCCACGGACGGCTTGCCTTCGTTCGCCCACTCGGGCGGCTTGCTGCCGCGGGTGGCGGGAGGGGAGGTGTCGGCGGAAGTGGAGGCAGACTTTGTGACCATGCAGATCGTCATTCGGCAACCGGACTCCCCGGAGTACGACCGACTGGACACGCAGGTGAGCGATGCCAAAGCAGCGGTCCTCTCGCTTCACTTTCTTTGTCCCAGCAAAACGTGGACGACACGGATTTCTGGTTGCGAGGGCTTACGAGCGGCGATCGTCTGAGATTCGCCGTTGGGAGCACCCTTTAGCGGACTTTCTTGTCCATCCGCTTTATGAGATGGTGGTTTTCCCCCTCCTGCAAATTTCGCATCTGGAACTTGGTTTCCTATCTGGACTTACGGTGAACGTTGGCGTTGATGCGCAGCTGGCAATCCAAGTGGCCACCCTGGAGTTCTTCTGCAACCGCCCCACCGTGGTGGCCTTGACCGAGTTCGGGCTGGACGTGAGCACCATCCAAGCGGCCTTGACCGCGGCGCAAGAGGCGGCGGCCGCGGCCAGCGTGGGCCTGGTGGTGTTTGGCCTGGCGGGGCGCGGGAAGGTGCGGATCATCTTCCAGCTGCTGCTGGACATGGACACCGCCAGGATCTACCTCAACCTGGAGGACGGGGAGCAGCTCGCCGTGCTCGCCGAGGAGCGCATCCACATGGACCTCAAGGTGAGAGCTGGCGACCGATCCTCAAGCAGGAGACATTGCAGCAAGAGACGTTGCCACGTGTCCTCAGCATCGCATGCGACGAGTGATCATTTTGTGCTCAATTTGTGCATGGATCCATGCGAGCTAGTCAAGACAGATTGTCAAGGGCATGAGCTGCGTTTTAAGGCTCCTACAGGGGGTTCTGTTTGCTAGTAGTTCAATCGTCCTTCGATGGTGGGCGGTTCATCTTTGCACGGACAAGTAAGACGGCCAGGAATTGATTCTTGCCGTTTGATCGTCCAGGTGTACCCTTCGTCGATCCGCATCGTCGCGTCTTTGGGCAACCTGCGGATTGCGGACCTGACTCTCCCCCCCGGGCACCAGTACTCGTGGGCCTGCGACATGCGGGACGCCAGCAGCAGCTCGCTGGTCGAGCTGCAGTTCGACTCGTTCAGCAAGGACGACGACGACTACGCGGGCTACGAGTACGGCCTCCGAGGGAATCTGCAAGCTGTCCGGCTTATCTTCCTCTACCGCTTTGTCCAAGAGGTTAGACCCTGCAATCCAGCCGCTTCACAATCTTGTGTTCCGCGCCTCCTGCCGTGATCCGCTTCTTTCAATGATTCTTCTCAAGGCGCCATGTGCATCAGCAAAAGCTTTGGTGTTTGATTCAGTGGAATGGTTTGCTTGAAGGCACTGTCAAGTTTTGTTTGGCAGCTGTCGAGTGAGGCGCTGCAGGTTCACATCTTCTTACCGCTGTTTTTGCGCAGTTGATGGACTACTTCCACGCGCTGGCCACCCCCGACACGGGCACGGTGGTCCAGGTCGTGGAGAACGCCGGCGTGGAGCGGCTGATCAAGCAGTCCGAGCTGGACGGAGGCGTGGCGCTGAAACTGGACATCGTAGCCGACGCTCCCGTCATCAAGATGCCCAAAACCTCCGACAGCAACGAGTGAGTAACCAGCAATGAGCAACTTGAAGTAGCAGCGTTCCACTCATGCTGAGCAATAGCGTCGTAACCGGTATCTGTCCGTAGTTTTGACCATTCTCGTGCAGAGTCGCAGTGCTTCACGGGGGCATACGTTGTGCTTTCGATCTGGAGCTTCGTTTCAGTACGTGTCAGGTTGTCATGTGGATTGCATTCCAGATTGGTCAAGTCAAGTCGATGCTTAGTTGGACTCTCTTTGAAGAGCTGGGACCCATCTGGAAGAGACGCCTGTTCCTGCAGGTTTATGCAACTTGATCTGGGTCATTTGCAACTGTCCAATCGCTTCGAATGGCGCGGCGGCGTCAAGGAGGAGCCCTTCGCCGTGCATCTGGATATCATGGAGATCAAGGTAGGCGTTCCTCGTCATTTTCTGCCACTCCATGGTCTGACCAGACTATTGGGCAGCGTGTTGAAACGGAGAGAATGCTACCGTCTTGCGTTCCGCCGAAGTCCGTTCCGTTCCTTCCGTTCTGTCAGGTTCCGCTCCGTGTTGCTCCGTTTCCTCCTTCGTTTGCTGTGGGTTTATTGTTCCTTGTCTCTAAAGTTCCATGAAGATTTATGTCGATGGCTATGTGCGGCCAGAGTGACCACGCCAGTGAATATAGCCAAATACCAAGTGTTCACTATGTTAGCACTTTTGACAAGTCAGAGGAGAGTCCATTCAGTAGAATAACCAGCTTTTCACTGTGCTAGTTTCGAAAGCTGCCTTTCAGTCGCTAGCGGCATGGGCGCATGGCTGACATTTCGAAGCTGTGGTTATTCCAGGGCCAAGACTTGCAGTTCATTGTGGGCATCGACGGCCAGGCCGGGCGGCCGATGTTCGAGGACGTTCAAGGCGTGACTGTGACCGTCAAGAGGCCCCTCCGAGACCTGTTCAAGCGGCTGCCGGAGGTGGAGACGGACGTGCAGGTAAGACCAAGCGCGCACGCTTCGTGCATGGATGCAGCTATGCGGAGGAGGTGCTTTCGAACGAGGCTCTACGGCCCATGAAAGTCAGCTTAGGGGTTCCAACTTGCTGCACTCCAGTATGTCGGTTGATCTTTGGTTCTGTCAGCATCTACGATATCTGGGAAACTTTCTGACGTTCGGAGAAGGTAGAACACGCATCATTTTCGAAAGAGGAGCCTTGCAAGATTCTCTGCTGGATACGAGCCATTTCCGCTTTACTTACTCTTGGAGTCTGACCAAGTACTCGCATGTCTCATGACAGATTCAAAAGCTTCGTGCGGTGATGTCCGACAAGGAGTATCACGTCATCACAGCGTGCGCAGCGAGCAACATAGCGGAGCCGAAGCGGGCTATACCCACCTTCCGGGGTACCGGGCAGCAGAGCGGGGATGCGGCCCCAGATGTGGCGGCCGTGGTGGATGCTTCAGGCACTGCTCCCGGTGGGGAGGCCGCCGAGGTGGGCGAGGCGGAGCTGGGCCTGCGCGCGCCGTGGACCACCAACCGCGTGGTCGTGCGCGTGGAGCAAGCCGAGCTGGAGCTCTTCCTTGGCTTGGAGAGGGACGCCTCACTAGCGAGCCTCATGGTGAGCGCTCGACCCTCTCGAGCAAAAGCTCATGGCGCTGCACGAGACGTTGCGTCTTCTGTTGGATGGACTTGTAATTGATCCTGTCTAAGCTCGCCCCATCCTTCTCGAGCTACCCACTTCAAATGTTGCGTCTGCCATCCGCATCAGCACCATCTGCCTGTTTGGTCGAGCTTTTGTGACCAGATGCCGGGGGTGGGTCGCTTGGATAACGTCGGATGAGTCCGCTTTGGCAGCTTAAGGGTTGCAAGCGCTCGGAAGCTTACGGCCCATCACTGCTGATGTGCAGATCCGAAACCTCTGGCAAGTGTACCGCTCAACCTCGGCTGGCGAACAAGAGGTGCTGGTGACTCTCCCCCAGTTCTCTGTCATGGACACCAGACCGAGCACCAAGACCGAAATGCGTAAGTTTTACCAAACATTTATAAGCGTTTGTTGCATCTGCGCCGTTTCCCGGAACGATTGCGCAGTTGACACTTGACTCTGATCATCGCAAGGTCGTGGGCTTCCCAGGTGCTTGAAAACGGAGTTCGTGGAGTCTTGCATCCGTTTACATCGAAGCGTCAACTGCTGTAGTGCCTTGCCATTCCGGACACAAAGTCTGATCTTCTCTGCACTGTGTGATCCCTCTCTGCCTCCAATTGAATGGTTGTTGAGTTTGTTGTTCCGCTACTCTGCAGGCTTCATGGTCGGGTCCGCCATCGACGTGGACTCTCGCGGAGTGCCCGTGGCGGATGCCTCGCTGCCTGGCGCCGCGGCTCCTTGTGTCGCCACAACCGGCTCACCCGAGCTTCCGCGGCTGACCATGCTGCTGCTGGACTACCGCGCCACCAAGAGCGGTCGCAGCCTTGCGCTGCGCACCCAGAAGCCCCGCCTGCTGGTCAGCCTGGACTTCCTGCTCGCCATCGCCGACTTTTTCGTCCCCTCCTTCCACTCCTCGGAATGCAGCGCCCCGACTGTGCGCTCTGACCCCGTGGGGATGCAAGGCAACGTGCGGCTCGACGGGCCCGAGTACGTCCAAGAAGCGCCCGACGCGTGCTTGTCCCCGGAGCGGCAGCTGGAAGTGGACGGGCCCCACTTGAGCGAGTTTGTGTACGACGGCAATGGCGGTGCGCTGTACCTTCTGGCGGAGGAGGGCGGCCCCGTGGTGGCGGGCCTGCCCCCGGCCCCGCTCATCCTGATCGGCAACGGCAAACGGCTGCGCTTCCGCAATGTGCGCATCCAGGGCGGCGTGCACCTGGACGCGTGCGTGCACCTCGGGGCGGACAGCAGCTACAGCGCCGCGCCCGAGGACGGGTGTGTCATCCAGGATGCGCAGGGCACGCCCGCATTCCTCCTCTCCAAGCCGGCCAGAGCGGACGAGGAAGCCGGAATTACGTCCTCTTCTCTCACGGCGGAAGGAACGGATCTAGCGATGGCGCTTGACGTTCAAGCCGTGGGCGTAGAGCTGACGTTTTACGACACCACTAAGTGGCCGGTAGGGAGCGTGCTGCGGCCGGAGAAGCTGTTGCGCGCGCGGACCGACTTCAGCTGTATGCTCACCAGCCAGGGCGAGGACCAGCGCGCGAGCGCTGTGCTCAAAGGCATGCGACTGGAAGGCGGCTCCGGGCTCACGGTCATCGATCCTTTCAACGCAACCCTCGACTTCTCCAAGCACAACGACAAGCAAGACCTGGCTCTCGCCATCTCCCCAATCACAGTCCGTGTCACGGGCAACGTCCTGCGGCTCCTCCAGCGGCTCGAAGCCGACTTGGTGTCGACTTTCCACCTGGGAGGCGATCAGATAGCGGCCCGCTGCTCCCAGTTCGACAGGATCTGGCTCAACGAGACTCTCGCCAGCTCCCAGCAGCAAGTCGCGTTCTGGCGGCCACGGGTGCCCCCCGGTTATGCTGTCGTGGGAGACTGTGCCACGTCGGGTGCAGCGCCCCCGTCGCAGAGTGTAATGGCCGTCAGCACCGCGTTCGAGCGCGTCAAGCGGCCGCTGGCGTACGAGCTGGTGTGGACCTCCAGCAGCCTGCGCACGGGGAGCAGCAGCGAGGACGACAGCGGGGGATCGGAAGCAAGTGGGGGCTCGAACGGAACTTCTGCCCGAGAGTGCACTGTCTGGCTCCCGGTTGCGCCGCAAGGGTATGTGGCTGTGGGTTGCGTTGCCTGGAGGGGCCCGCATCCTCCGCCGCTCAGCCTGGCGGCGTGCGTTCGGATGGACCTGCTGACGTCGTCCAGCTTCAGCGACTGCATCTACTACGTTAAGGCCCAGCCTAGGTAAGCCACACGCTGTGAAGTGTGAACTTCTTTCTTTGCAACAAATCAAGCCAATCGGAGCTGGTGCGAGTGCAGGCTGCAATTCAATCGTACCGTTCCTTCAAGTCTACACTGGCATAGCCAGAATTGAAGATATAGCTCCGTCTTCGGTCGTTCCATGGTCCATCTGGCGTATTGAGTACTAGATCAGGGCACGTGTTCCTTGCAGTGTGGGGTACCCCTACCCGAGCAGCTCCATCTGGCGTATCGAGAACGCCTTCGGCACCTTCGTGGCGCACATGGACGTGAATCAGCCGCCTCCATCCTCGGCATACGACCTCCGGGAGTTCCTGCGCTACTCCCAGATCACTCCGACCGCCACCACTCCAGGCGCGACTCCGAGAGACCAGCCCAGCAGCCCCAGTCAGAGCAGCCGGCGACTGGACATGCAGGTAAGGCTGCCTCGGGGGACTAATGTCTCGATCAAGCCTCATATTCGTCTTTCCTGCGTTTTCTGCCTCACTTGCAGCCGCTGTCCTCTTGTTGGCAAAGCTGAGGAACGTACTTTGGAACGATGTTTGAGCAGTCCTCAGCTTGCATTTCGTAATGCACAGCTGCACGAAACGAGCTATCTTTGATGAAGGCAAGCTTCATCTGCCTGCAGGGAAGCACTCGAGGAAAACTGGAGAGCTTAACGTCGAGAGCGGGGAAGTACTACTCAAGCGTTGCTCATTTTGAGCGGATGTGGTGGGACAAAGGGTCCGATGCAAAGAGACACGTGTCCATTTGGAGGCCCATCGTTCCCACTGGCTATGCAATGCTTGGGGACTACGCCATGGCGGGGTGAGCTTTTGCTCCATGCCTTCTTCTGCAGGAAGTGTCTAGGTTGTTGCTCAGCGTGTGTGAATCAGAGGTTACAGCACAACGGCCAAGCTTCTTCAACTGGGTGGAATTCGATGGTCATCAGTTTCTGAACCCGGTTCTTCGAATCGCTCAAAGAAGCTTGAATCGGTACTGATATCAGAGCCACTTCGTGCGGGTGTCGACCCGTCTCATCGCCTCGAAGTTATTCTGGCGCCCTAGTCGCGGGTTCGGGTATCCTTTGGGTGATCTTGTGCTACGCGACGTCGCGATCAGAATCAAGATGGCCGTCTTTTACCGAAGTAACACCATTTTTATCGTTGGGCAGTCTTGGTCTTGTTTGCAGAATGCGACCCACATCTCCATTCTCAAATCATGATGATCATCTCGATGTTACTATTGATCTGTGGCATTTGCCTTGCAGGTACGAGCCTCCCGTGGGTGGCCTTGTGATGCGTGACGATGGCACCGGGCGGCTTGCGCGCCCGTTGGGGTTCAAAGCGCGAGCGCACCTGGTGGGCAAGAACATCGAGGAGGCGTCCGTGTGGCTCCCTGTGGCCCCACCCGGCTATGTGGCACTCGGCTGTGTTGGGTCAAGGGGCTTCAACCCTCCGGATCCGGATTGCGTGCGCTGTGTCAGGATGGATCTCGTGAACCAGGTAAGTTCCTCTTGTCTGCCATCGAAAGAGGGTACGCAGGAGGGAAGCCTTTGCACTCAGACGTTCAGTGTTCTGCTGTTATGCTGTTCTCAACGAGGCTTTTGAACCCTGACTTATACCTCATGTGCGACTATATGATGAGGTTTCTTGCGGCTTGCTTTGTGGTTGTTCTTCAAATCCGGATTACAGATTCACGACGTTCAATAATCGTGCGGCGTGTGACGCTCTAGTTTAACGAGAGATATGCTCCTTTCCAGGCCCACTTCCAGGCGCGACCGGTGTGGGAGTCTCTTGGGAAGGCTGGCAAAGGGGCATCGTCGTGCAGCTTCTGGCGGGTGGAGAACCAAGCCGGAACCTTCATGGTGCGGAGCGATCTGAAGCCTCCCCCATGGCGCATGGCCTTTGGCTTGGCGGAGCTGGGAAAGCCAAAGCTGCCGGAGAACATCGCCATGGAGGTCAAGACCGGCCGAATGTCAATCACGGCTTTTGACGACTTCTCCGGACTGGTAAGTTTTGACTTCTTTCGGTTTTCCATCTCGCTGGAAGGCCTGCGGCTGTGTTCGTCTGCCGACCTCTGCGGATTCCCATCTGCTTTTGACTGCTGATATGCGGCCCGCCTCCTGTGAACGTCACAGACACCTGAGGAGACATGTTCGCATTGTTCGAGCTACCTTTCTACAGTACCACGTGTGTTGCTCAGGCCTCCAGTGTGAGCGGGTCAAGCGAAAGCGCGGGAGCGTACAATAAAAGCTTAACGTCCATCTTTTCACGTGCAATACGCGGCCTTTATGTCTTTCTTGGAACAAGTCGGCCTGATCTACTTTCATGGCTCTGCTGTCTTGACTGGTAATATTCATGATGACAGTCACCGCACTCTGCTGTGCAGATGAACCCGGTGGCTGACGTGAGCATCAGCGGCACGAACCTGCTGGCCCACGGCCGACCGGAGCTGATGAACGCGGTCATGATCACGTCCATGGCGGCCTCCACGTTCAACAGCCAGCTGGATGCGTGGGAGCCCGCCGTGGAGCCGTGGGAGGGGCTGGTCAAGTGGGAGTCCAACAACGACCCCTCGGAGCAGGCCCTCCCCGCGGGCTCGCGCCTGCGGGTCGCCGCCAGCAGTGTCATCAACGTCAACGTCAGCAGCGCCAGCGTGGAGACACTGGTGGCAGCGCAGCTGGCGTGGAAGCGGAACGTGGAGCTCGAAGAGGACGCCAGGAAGGAGCTGCAAATGGTAAGCGCAGTCGAGCAAAGAGTTCTTGTTTAGAATCCGATGCCGGGCAATTAAGACTGCCCGGCGGTTCGTTTCTTTGGCTTCCAAAGACTCTCACCTCTCACCAATCTCGATCGCCAAAGCGTGTGCCTGCTGATCTTTTTGAGGTTGGATGCGAGTAAGACTCCGCACCAGCACACCGTCCATACGAGCTTGATTCAAGAATCGTTTATTGGTTATCTCGCTTAGTGCAAAGCTGACAGCGAAAATTGCGACTGAGCACCTTGCAGTCCGTTGCAATATGATAAACTGGCTTACTGCAAATCGTACTGACAGCGAAGTTTCATTTCGACGACGGCATCTTCATCGAACGCTTGGTTCATTGTTCTTTTCTCCTATGGAGACAGTTGTGGTTCCGTTGGTGGCGGGAATGTTTCAGCTTGTTCACTGTGCGTGAGACTGTATCGTCCTGACCGCTACAAGGAAGAAACCAGCAAGATGCTTCTTATGATTGCGGTGCCAATATTAAGGCAATATGTGAGAAGGTGGCTCTCTTTCCTCTCAGCTCAATATTATGCGCAGAATCACCTTCGGATCACCTATTGCGCATTCAGCTCGAAAACATTTCCTCTCTTTTCTCTTTCAGGCCTTGGCGTCTGGCGGTGATTTGGCGGACGGTCCTGTGGCCGTGGAGGGGTCCTCCGCGCTGGACCAGGACGACTTCGCGCGGGTGACCATGGAGAACAAGCTGGGCCTCACCGTCTTCGTCCAAGCCGTGGACGCGGACTACTCGTCCATCCAGCAGCTGTCGGCGGGTGAGTGCGCAGTCGTGCGGCTTCCCCCGCCTCGTTTCCCCGAGCTCTACACGGCAGGGTTCACGCACCAAGACGAAACCAGGGCGCCTCGACAGTTTGTGGCCGTGCGCGTTTCCGCTGGGTGGGACCTGCCCGGAGCAGCAGGCGTCAGCGATCGGGAGTACTTGTGTGCTCTGGAGGTGCTCTCAAGCGGCCAGCCGCGCAAGGGTCGCGAGTCGAAGGTGCTGCCGCAAAGAGCGCGAACGAGATGCGTGGAGCCGGGTTTGGAAGTGCAGGGCAGGACAGTCGTGCGGTGGGACGAGGTGTTCCTGTTCGAGATTCCCGCCGGTGCTGGCAGGTCGGAGCTCGAGCTCACGGTTCTGAACCAGGCCGCCAACGGGGGGCGCGGAGAGCCGGTCGGCGCAGCGTCGATCCCCGTAAGCGAGGCCAGCGAAGTGCAGCAGAACAAGTGGCAGGTCGTGCGGGAGCACCTGGATCCGCGGAAGGGCTTCACCTGGCCGGAGGTGGCGGTCAAGACGTTCCCGCTGCATGTCGTGGGCGACCAGGAGAAGACTCCGGCGGGGGGGCAAGTCGAGGTGGCTCTCGCGTTCCTCAAGTCGTCGAGCACGGGCGATGCGGACGAGGGCCTGCTGCAGCGCTCGGTGCAGCTGGGGCTAGGCGAGGACGGCCCGTGGACGGCCCTCCGGTCGGTGCTCGCGCTGACCACGTATCCCGAGCGGCTGGGCGACGCGCACTTCGCGGTGGACGTGGTCCTGAAGGCGGGCCTCAAGTTCGTGGAGCTGCGCAGCCTGGTGGTGCTGGCCAACGAGCTGGACTGCGCGCTGGAGGTGTGCATCTGCCCGCGCGCGCTGCTGGACCACGCGGACGCGAGCGTGAACAGCCCCGCGGACGGCTCCGCGGTGGTGGTGGAGGAGCAGTTCGAGAACCAGCGGTACCAGCCCATCCGGGGGTGGGGCTCCAAGTGGCCCGGCAACTTCGTGCCAGGGGACCCCTCGCGCTGGAGCACCGCGGACGGCGGGCAGTCGAGCCAGGTCAGGACCGTGGACGCGGGTGGGCGCTACAGGAAGCGGATGGCGAGTCTGGTGAAACCTAGATGCGCCTGCCAGCATCGTGGCTCGAGCTACAACGTAGAGCTTCAAGGTCTTCGTCCTCTAGGCTTGTCGGTTAATTCCGTTTATACACCTCCTTTCTGACAAATGCGCGTTTCACGAGCAGAAATTCCTTAATCAAATTGAGCGTGCATTCCAAACTGACCGAGGCTGGCCTTTCGAAGTCAGAAGAAGAAGTCTGATTATACCAGATCAAGCGTTAGTCTCAGGAGCTACGAAAAATATTGAAGTTGAGTACATAAAAGCCGGGCTTTTGTTGACACCTACTTTTGGCTTGAATTCTGTACTTTTTTCCAGGATTTCATAAACATACCGCTACCGCCTGGCTGGGAGTGGAGCTCGGACTGGCACGTCGACAAAGTGGGGTACGTCGACATCGACGGTTGGGCCTACAACATGGACTTCAAAAGCCTGAGATGGCCACCCCCCACTGTCAAGTCCCGGAAGAAGGGCCCCTTCGACTTTGCTCGGCGGAGGAGGTGGATCAGAACCAGGAGGTACGCTGTTCCGCAGCCCGCAAGCCAATGACGCTGATACTCTGCTCCTTTGGCTTCAGCGTGAATGCTGCCCGTTCCTGACTCATTCAACTTCTTCTCCGCGTCATCCTTCGAACCGGCAGTTCCCACTACGCTCTTGAGTTCTCGAAACAGGAAGAAGCCAAACAACCTTGGTTGGCCTTGCTCCTGGTGCATTTTGGAGTCTGCGCAACGTTGGTCGTTCCTTCATTGACTCTGAGGTCCTTCCATGTATCAGGCGGGTGTCCGACGAGGAGGGTGGCGCTCGGCTGGGAGTGGGAGTCGTTCCCAGTGGTGGTACCATCTCCATGCCGTGGACCAGCTTGCGGCCTGGCTCAGATTTCTGTGTGCAAGTAAGTACGAATCTTGTAGACTCTTCAATGTCCGTAAGTGCTTTGTAGAAGCTGATGGCGAAAAATCCTTAGAAGGACCTTTCTCTAGGAGCTCGTATTCGACGAGTTTCAACCGCATAAAAAGCTTTACGGAACTCACAGTGCTCTAGTCCGCTTGGAAGCTCAAATTGAAGGGTTGCTGGTGATTCATTCACGCGCAGAATGCCAGAGACATTTTTCATTGACAACCAGTTTCTTCATTAGGGCCTGTTCTTGCACTTCATTCTTTGCGGGGCACTTTGAACAGATTCTGCTCAGCCAGGATTCACCGGGGCCCTCCTCGCCTTCTTGTCCAGGTGCGGCCGCAGTCTGCTGCCGGGCCGACAGCGGCGTGGCACGCGTGGGGCCGGCCCGTGGCCAAGGCGGAGATTGCCCACCCGGAGGAGAGCCTCGGCAGCGACGGCGGCGGCAGCGGCAGCCTCATGCGGGGCATCAGCGGCGGCCTGGCGCGGCTCAACAGCGGGCCGTCGGCGCAGAACAAGGACGGGGTGCCAGGGAACGTGTTCCAGCTGCGCAGCTTGAGCAAGACGGAGGAGCTGCTGCTGTGCAACCCGCTGCCCAGGAGCGGAGAGGCGCCGCACGGGCCGGCGTGGCTCAGCATGGAAGCGGACGCATCCATCCTCTACAGGTGAGACACATCGCGGTACGGCTGCATAGTAAATTTATCGAGAGGTGTTTCCAGAGTATTGCGGGTGTTTGGTCCAATCTGCGAGCATCGTTCAGGTGAGATCAGCAAGCTACTGTCTGGCCCACCAAAATGAGAAAGCTCGAGTCACTTGAAGGTACTCCTGGGTCGATTCGGAAGCAAGGCTTTGACCAGTGTGCTCCTTCAAGCTGATTGCGGCCCTACAACTGCTCTTGGTCTGCATTCAAACGACGGCTAGTGCTGATTGCCATGCTTGTGTAGGGAATGTTCGTGCATGCGAAAAGGCCATCAAATTTCTGGGGCTGCTTATCTTAGTGTCCTGAGTCCTCTTTGTAGATTGCGAAGGATGGTTCCATACATTCAGACGCTTCTTCTCAACATACGCCGGCACTCTGGGCTTCGCTTTTACGGTTCCTGATCTAGCTTGTGTGCTTTTCGCAGCGAGATGAACAACCCCGTGCAAGACTGGCGGTTGACGGTGGCTGCTCCGCTGACCGTGAGCAACCTGCTACCTGTGCGCGCTGAGTACCAGATCTGGGAGAAACCAAAGCGGACGGCTCCCGTTCTTCGGCAGCGGGGGGTCATCGAGTCTGGCGCGAGTACACAGATCTCCTCTGTGGACGTTCGGCGGCCGATCTTCCTCTCGTGGTGGCCTCAGGGAGCTTGGAAACCTGAGCGCGACTTGGTGTTGATCAGCGACCCGACCAGGATCGAGGCGGAGCTGCCGAGCAGCTTCATGGTGTCCAACACGCGCAGCGGTCGCCGGCTTCGCATCAGCGTCGAGCACGACCTGGGCGAAACTGACGTGGCGGCCAAGCGAGTGCGGCTCTACGTTCCCTACTGGCTCAAGAACGAGGCGGGCGTCCCTCTGTCGTATCGCCTCACCGAAGTCGAGGACGTCGGCAAGGCCAGCAAAGCGCCGAGGCTGCCTAGCGCCAAGCCCGCGGTGCGCAGCGCGGCCGCATCGCTGCAGCGCATCGTGAAGAGCCTGGAGGCGATCGAGGACCAGCACGATCTGCCCGTCATGCTGAGTCTGCCCACCTCGGACCGGGTCGGCCTCGCCGTCAGCCTGGGCCACGACGGCGTCGTCAGCATGGCCATCCCCTTCAGGGCCTTCGAGGAACAGGTCAGGCTGCTTACCCGCACCTAACCTGTTTCGAAAAGGAGTGGCAGGATTGCGTCGGAAGCCCTTGAGCTGCAAGCAGTTTGTCTATTTTCTTGTTCCGCAAGACTGGGCGGGATTGGGTACGGCTAAACGCGACGGGAGTCTAAGACTAAAACCGGTTGGCCTCGATATTCATCGACTATCGACTTCAGAACCTCACTATCAGCCGCACCTTGTTGGCGCCTGAAACTGTCTGGTGCCGTTATGCAGTTTACAGCATCCGTAAGCCTTTGCTTGACTCCTGCTCCTACAACAGTTATTTCTGGAAACAAAGAGTCGATCCTGGTTGTGAAAGGCCTTGCCACGCCTGTCTAACATTCAGCACGTGCTGCCTTTGCAGTTGGACCGCATCGACCTGAACGCGGTCAACTCGAGCGGGACGTACGCGAAGCTGTCCGCGAGCATCGAGATGTCGTCGTACGGGTACGAGCGGACCAAGGTGATCCGGCTGCAGCCGCACACCGTGTTCACCAACCGGCTGGGCCAGACGCTGTACATCAAGCAGCTCGCGGTGCCCGACGAGGACGTGCTGGGGCCCGCGGACGTGGCGCGGCCGCTGCTCTGGAGGTCCATCTACGAGCAAGAGCTGGTGCAGGTGAGGGACAAGGACGCACTAGCGACTATTCCGCTAGATGTTGGTTGGAGATCGGCGCGGTAATCACCCAGCCCCAGTGCCAAGCTCACGTCTTGAAAAGAAACCTCATTGTAGGCTCCAGAAGTGAGTGTAACCAACTGACCCTGTTTCTGGGACGTTGCTTTGACATCGTTACTCGAGAGGCTTGCATTAAAGGCGCGATCTCAACATGCTGAAAATATGAGCCAACGAGAACTCGAATGCTTCGCCATCGTGCGAAGGCAGTTCGTAGGGTTTCGAATGCTTGTGTTATTCTCCAGGTGCGCAATGACAGCAGCCGGTGGAGCCAGCCGTTCAGCTTGGCTGCGGAGGGCATGCTGCACATCACGCTGCGCACGGTCGCCGACAACTCGCGCCAGATGATCCGAGCGGAGATCCGGAACGGGGTGGCGGCCTCGCGCTTCTCGGTGGTCTTCAGGGCGTGCTCGGCGCATGGGCCCCACAAGTGAGTCATGCCGGCTCTGAGGTGACCGCAACAGCCAGCGGGAACGTGATCATCGGGATTCGGTTGTTTCTGGCCCTTCGAAAACCAATCAGCTATCTCGTATTTGAAAAAATCACCCGAACAAGGGGCCCTTGCTCTGCGATAGTTTTCCCCAAACACGAAATATGTCGTTGAAGTCGACCCCTTGCCACTTTAAGGCCCTTGCTTTCAGTAAGTGCAGACTTCTGGTGTGAGGATGGTCCCAAGATTGTGTAGTCGCCTCAAGTGGTGGAAGTTGAGGCACTCGTCCCTCTGGCAGCACTGAACTTCTTCTTATAAGATCCGAAGTGGGTCGCGGGGCAAATGATGGAAAAGCTGAGGATGGCTCATTTTTCGCTCTCACATCCTCCCAGGTTGGAGAACCGGTCGTTGGTGCTGCCCATCCGGTTCCGTCAGAAGGGCAGCGCCGAGTCGTCGTGGGTGTGTCTGCGGCCGGGCAGCAGCGCCAGCTTCAACTGGGAGGACCTGCTCCGCGAGCGCATGGTGGAGGTCCTGGTGGACGGCGCGGACCCCGCCACGGCGCGCTCCTACGGCCTGGACCAGGTCGCCGAGTACCCGCCGCTCGCGTCCACGCGCGGGCCCGTGGCCGCGCTGCACTGCAGCGTCTACCGCGAGGGGGCGGCCATGGTGCTGCGGGTCGAGGACTGGAAGCCCAGCACCGGTGCGTCTTTTTGATACTTGGTTCAACGCAACGTCTTCGTCTAGTCCTGTTTTGGGTTCTTCCTTTCAGGAGACTGCGCGGCCCGAGCCCGTGGGGGCTGTTCGTCTTGGTCATGGTTGCAAGTGGTCGGTTCGTTTCTGTCACTGCCATGCTTGCCATGCTTGGATAAACAGTGCTTGAATTGAGCTGACCATCTCATGAATCGGTGGAGTGCTTTGGTAGACAATAGAGACCATTGGCCTCGGCGTTCCGAGAGTCAAAGGACGAACCATAGAGGAGGACTTCCGACTTTAAGCTCGACTTGCTGCAGGTGACCTGGCAATCGTTTCACGCACCCCGTCCTTTGCCGGCCTCGGCGCCAGCAGCGATGCAGTCGAGGCGCCCGGTCTCTTGAACCGAGCCGAAGCCGGCAAGGAGATGGAGTTCCACATGCTGTTCGACATACACGACTTGGGCATCTCCATTGTGGACCACAGCCCCGAGGAGCTGCTCTTCCTCGCCATGCACGGGGCCAGCGTCGCCTACTCAACGGGACTGGCGGGGGGAATCACCAGGTTTGTGAATTTCTGCACTTTGACGTTCTTGGAGCCAGTCGAACCTCAACAGCTCAACGCTACTGACTACAATAAGAAGTTAGGTGGGACTTGATGCTTCGAAAGCACTGGTACATGATTACCGCTTCCGTGTAGGCAGCCGTTCAGCTCTGGTTTCCGCACAAGGAGACGCGTTATCATGTGAAGACTGCCGCGCGCACAAATGAACGACGGGGGCCCTTACGCGCAGGTTCGAGGTGCAAGTGGGCAGCCTCCAAATTGACAACCAGCTGGCGCTGACGCCGATGCCGGTCATCATGGCGCTCGAGGAGGCCACGCACGGCGTGCGGCCCGAGTGTGTGCTCAAGGTCACGCTCAGCATGCAGAGTGCGCCCGCCGACCAGGTGCAGACGTACCCCTACGTCGGGGTGCAGGTGAGGCACACACACCCCGCAACGGCGCCTGCACGGGAACAATGCGCGAATGCCCACTGGGTGGTCTTGGCTGTGGAAAATCTCACGACTCCCTTGCAAAAGGGTTCAGGGAAAGAAGAAATAGGGCTTTTCAAGCTCACATAAATGCTTCTGTAAACGGAGCGTCTCTCCCACTGGATCTCCCGGAGACTACCTAAGTGAAAGATGGCTCCCGAAAGTCGCCCCGGATTGCCCCGGTCGCTGCGAACCTACTGCGAAGCACTTCCATTTGAAGTTTCAACATTATTCGTCGTTTCGTTTGCATTTGCGCTCGCCCACTTTCATTCTCGCGCTCAAGACGTTGTTTTCCCTCGCAGTTTGCGGAGTCGGCGTGGCTGCTGAACATTCACGAGCCGCTCCTGTGGCGGCTGGTGGAGATGCTGTCGCGGCTGAAGCTGGGCCGCCTGGTGGAGGAGCACAGCACGTCCGTCACCGTGGACCCGCGCGTGCGCATCGGCCTGCTCAACCTCACCGACCTGCACTTCAAGCTCACGCTCCTGCTCGCACCCGCGCAGCGCCCGCGCGGCATCCTCGGCTTCTGGTCCACGCTGGTCACCAGCATCGGCAACACCAACGAAATGCAGGTGACGGGACTGATCGAGAGCGCATCACATGAGCATCTCATTGACTTGACCATCAGGTCTGGTTGAGGCGTTATCGTTGACAACTTTGAGACGATCTCAATAACCCTGCTAACTTTTTGTTAGGCTTCCTTTTTGTTGCGATCCGAAGGCAAGGGTTTGGTGTTTTGTTATTGCCGACAAGCTAGCTGGACGGCCTGTCACCCTGACTTAACTCTAGCACGTCCAACTTTTACCATTCAAACTGCTTCAGGTCCACGAGGGGCAAAGCTTGAGAAGCGGCGCTGCTCTACGCAAGGCTTATTTCCTGGTCCGTCTGGACGATTCGGACGGTTGCCCGCCAGATTTTTCGGGCCACCAAACCTCGGTGACCCAAGTTAAAGTCGGGCCTGACTGGGTGCAATCCTAAAGGTTGCGCTACACATACATACTGATATCCCTTCTTTTTTTGCAGCTCAACTTCCAGGGCCGCGTGCGCGAGGACATCCACATGCGGCAGAGCCAGCTGGTGGAGAGCATGATGCGCGGCGCGCGCAACGACCTGCTGGGGCAGCCGTTCCACCTGCTGACCGGGCTGGACATCCTGGGGAACCTCAGCTCCGTCGTGGGCACCCTCAGCAAGGGCGCGGCGGCGCTGTCCATGGACAAAAAGTTCATCCGCAGCAGGCAGAGACAGGTAGGTGAAGCGTGCCAGCGGTACATGTACAATGAAGGATAATTGCGAGTGAGGCACCTTTGCTGATCTGTGCTGATTGCCATGCACTTGCCAGCCGATGTTTACAAGATGCTTTTATAAGCCAAGGAACCAAGATGTAAGACAAGGCCTGAAGGCCGACCGTACTTTCTGAGGTGCATCTAGCGTTCAATTTCAATAGATATCAAAGTGCAGTTTCTTACTGGCATGCTCGTTTGAATCGAACGCACGTACTGCGTCTGCCCTTGTTTACGATTGTCGTTCCTTCCTTGAGCCATCTCCCCTGTGCTCCTGTTTCCAGGAGACCAAGGGCGGGGTGGAGGACCTGGGCGACGGCCTGCGCGAGGGCGGTGAGGCATTTGCCAAGGGCCTCTTCCGCGGGGTGACGGGCATCCTGACCAAGCCCGTGGAAGGCTTCAAGGCCAGCGGCTTGGAGGGCTTCGCGTCAGGCGTGGCGCGCGGCGTGATCGGCGCGGCCGCGCAGCCCATGAGCGGCGTGCTGGACTTGGTGTCCAAGACGACGGATGGCTTCAACGCGCAGGGGCGCAAGATCTCGGCCGCCATCACCTCGGAGCAGGCGCTCGCCAGGTCACGCCTGCCGCGGGCCATTGGCGGCGACAGCATCCTGCGGCCGTACGACGAGTACAAGGCGCGAGGACAGGTGAGGAACTGCGAGAGGCGCTTTTAAATCCAACCTTGAGCATGTGTTGACCACGCACGTTGGTTGTTGCTTCGTTGACGTGGCTGACTTGTGATTGTTGTTCAATTTGCAACACGTACTTGACAATGAGTTGTCGCTCGCATCATGAGGCGGCCTTTCCGTCTTGTGCAGATGATGATGCAGCTGGCGGAGCGCGGGACGTATTTGGGGCAGTACGACATCTTCAAGGAGCGGGCCAAGTTCGCCACCAGCGACGCCTACGAAGACCACTTCAACCTGCCCAAGAACCGCACGCTCATCATCTCGCACCGCCGGGTCCTCCTGCTGCAGGTAACCACATCTTCGTCCTTTTTAGAGCTCAAAGCAAGGACTGCGCGGTTCGGATTCCCTTTTGGGATAGCACGTTTCGGATTCCCTTTTGGGGTAACCTGAAGAAATAAGAGATGAAGAATTTCTTGTTCTCTTGACTCTCGCTCAGTCGTTCGCTGCTCAGAGGGCTTGCTTGAGCAGAGCTCCGTCCATCTCAGCTTCTAAGACTCAGAACGACCGTTGGTACAGAGGTCCTGGCTTTCTTTTGTAGAAACACCAGCTTCTGTGAGACCCATTTCCTTTCAAGGCATCCAGCATCAGCGCCTCTCTTTCGTTCGTGCAGCACCCCCTGTCCCTGACGGGCAAGCGGCCCGATCTGATGAAGGAGGCGTGCAGCATCACGTGGCACGTGGCGTGGGAGGACCTGATGACCACGGAGCTGCTCCACAGCAAGCACGACCCCCCCGGCGCGCCGCACTCGCGCGTCGTGCTGCACCTGCGGTCGTGGAGCCACGACGCGCGCCTATTCGACACCAAGGAGATCGCGCGCGTGGTCAAGTGCCACCCGGGAACCACGGAAGCCGCCAAGATCCGGGAGGCGATACAGCAAGCGTACGAGATGTACGGGCCGGACCGGGCGACCATCGCTGCGCTGGTGAGCGGACGGGAAAGGAGCTGCGGCGGCTTCTTCATGTGAAACCAGATTTGAATTAGTTACGGCCGGAACTGATTTCTCTTTGATGGAAGATAACGACTTATAAACAACTTAGAGAACGGTGTCGTGTTTAAGGCTCTTCTTTGAGTAAAGTCGAATAATGATTCCTGCAACACGATTTCAGCAGTTTGTAGACTTGCCTTTGTCTGGCTGATGGGCGCGAATGAAGAACGCGACGTTGCCTTTTTCCAAGGCAGAATATGATGGGTACCTAAGCTCTCACGTGCGCCGGTTGTTGTGCAGAACTCCCAGCGGCGGACTGCCCGCAAGCCGTACGCTGGCACCAGCACGGGCGCTGTGTCGGGGGCTGCCCTGGGGCTGCTGGCGGGCCCCGCGGCGCCCATCGCGGTGCCGATCATGGCCACCTTTGGGGCGCTCGTGGGGGGCGCCGGGCAGGCCATCCTGCAGGCGGATGCCACCCAGGAGCAAGACAAGCACGGCCTCGCAGTGCACTCTGATGTGAGAAGCGAATCGAAGCCACCAGAAGGCGACGCGCGCTCAGAGGCTTGCGAAAATTGCTGGGTCGTGCTCCTGTTTCTGCATTTAGAGGTCGTTTTGGAAGCTTTCAGGCTTTCTGGCTGTATAGTGGTGCTGCCGATCCAGATGCTGATCTTGAGTGTATACCCATTCTCAGGCCCCGGATGAGTATTCAATCGCTTGCCGAATATCCTGACCAGAAGGTTTGTCCTTTGCAGTCTCTGGTTGGCCATCGGCGGACTGGCAGTAACCCTGGGGCTCTGCACAAGCGGCGTGCCTCCGGCGACCTGTCCCGCCGCTCTGGCCTGGGGGAGGGGGGCGCGCCCGCCGCAGACCCCCCGGCGTGCAAGCTGGTACGCCAGTTCCGGCTCATGTGGTGGGACAAGGTGAGCTGCCAACTTTTTGGGCGCGGTAGCCTTAAGATGCTCTTGCCAGCTCGAAACGGCGACTGCAAATGTTCTTGGGAGAAATCTTAGCGCTGCGCAATCCTCAAAAAGAACCTTGACAGTGATGTGAAGAAGGAGCCTGTCTTGTTGCTTACGCGCCCCGCTTTCCTGCTTCAGGGCGCTGCCTGGAGCAAGCGGTACACTGTGTCCATCTGGCGGCCCATTGCGCCTGCCGGGTAAGCCGCAGGCACACCAGTACGCCTTTCTGCAGCACAACTTATGCGAATGGGCTGCTTCCCAGTCTGCCTCGCAGTGGCTGGTTGTCAGCTTCTATTGACTTGCCGCGCAAGTATGGGGATCAGATATTATTTAGCTCATTCCAAAACCTGCAAACAGAGGCAGGCCGTAGTTTGCCTCTGCCACTGCCTCCTGTCGTCGCCAGGCACAAGCGCTCCGCTTTGGCGCAGGTACGTGGTTCTGGGCGACGTGGTGCAGCGAGGATACGACGCCCCCAAGATGGCCATGGTCTACCTGGACGACTCCAACGGGCAGTTCGCGCAACCGGTCGGATACGATCTGGTAGGTCGTCATCTCGAAACCCTTGTATGGTTTTCAAAACAGGCATTTCCGATTGCATGTTGCATGTCAGACTGGGAACCTGGACCTGATGAATAACCTCGTGTGGCGCCATGCTCTGAGAGGCCTCGTGCTAGTTGAATGCTCCTTTCTGGAGCAAAGTATCTATTCAAGTTGAGATAAAGCTGTGATGTTTATCACTGAGATGTCCTTGGTTTTGCCAGGTGGCTGCTTATTTGCGCGCTCGGGCTCCATTATTTCAACGCAAGATAGTTGATAGCTTGATCTCGTGTATCTGATTCGCAGTACTGGCTGCTTCTTGGTCTTCCTGGGGCACTTGTCTCAAGCTCGTGTTAAGAAAGCTCATCGAAGTCAAACACATAGCCACTTCAATGAAGGCTTACAAGGCTGCTCATCGGACTCGTAAACATTCCCTTCAGAGCGAGTAACGACATTACTGTCGTAAATTTTGTGTGGGCGACCCAACATCTTATAACGTGGTTCTACGCTCATTTGATAGATCTGGCGCGACACGGACAGCGGAGCCCGAGAACCGGTCACCATCTGGCGGCCTCGACCTCCCTCCGGTTATGTGGCGCTTGGCTGTGTTGCGGTTCCTGATTACTACGAGCCGGACCGGAGCATCGTCCGGTGTGTCCAAAACGAATGCACGACGGCCGCTAAGCTCGGGGAGGAGCCCGTCTGGAGGGACCATAAGGGCGCGGCTCTTTGGCAGTGCAGCTTGTGGCAAGTAGACAACCAAGCAAGGACGTTCTTAGCGAGAAGAGATCATCAACGACCAAGTGAAGACGGGGCGTTGGCTGTACGAAGCATAGAGACATTAGAGTAAGCTGGTTACGCAAGTCGGTTTTTTAACAATTCTTCGCTCGCACAAACACTTCGGATTTGAGGTGTTTCGACTGTTGTAGGTACAGCGGAAAACAGAGCAGTATTATCCAAACGAGTCAGAACGTTGCCCCGCCCTATTAGACTACTGGGGTTCTTGTAACATACATGAGGGCTGCCAAGCATCCAATAGCAGCAGCGACGGTTCGATCAGCATTTGAAGCTCATGTGCAATCCAACGGCCTATGGAAAAACAGTGGTTCATGAGCACATTCAACACAAGATGATGACGTGATAGTTTGGCCGGGCATATGCACGCTTAATCAAACCCGTTTTCCATGAAGGTGACACGTGTCACTCTGCCAGCTGGCCTCGCAAGTCCTACACATTCAGATATTCCGATGCCGTGCGCTCGCGCCGTCGTTCTAGTTGCTAGCATCTCTCAGCGCAGCTGGCGCTCTTCGTGTGTGTGTCTACCGTAATAGTAAGGTGACGTTGGGTAGGTACATAGCTGCTCTGTCTGCTGCCTGCATTGCACAGCTGCTTACCGCATGACGCCCGTTGCCCTTGGAGAATGGCCATGCGGACGTACTTGGTGTCCTACGCTGTTGCGATGGGTTCCTTGCTGGCGGGCGCTGCTGTGGTGCACAACGTGTACCGCCCAGACCTGGTGAGCAGCACGTGCATGCACAGCCACGTGCCCGCTCCGCACGCCACCATGCTTGCTGCAGTTTAAAACGAAGCACCTCGCTGGCACTTAGACTCAAATGCTGGCAGAAGAGATGTTGTGCTTGTGATCCAATGATTACTTGTCTGTGGGTCTGCCCATCCCCTGTGACTCCTGTGTCTGATTGTCACAAGCAAAGGTGGCTGACCGGCACACTCGGCGCACAGCTACTGTGGCGCTGGGTCTGAGGGCCTGCGCAGCATCCTTGTAAAGGACCCCCCTGTTTGCAACCACACTCTACGTTGTGAATCCTTGCCTCTGATCTGAAGTTTTTCGCCAAACATCTTTCTCTGCTGCAGACAATCCCTGGCTACTCTGAGGAATCTGAGGCTGAGGGTCAACCACCAGCACTGGGCCCAGCACCAGGAAATAGCGCTACGGGAGACAGGGTCCCCGATGCCCCGCTGCCAACCTCAGCTACAGCAGCTAAGGCAGGGCCGTAGGCTCACTACACATGGGCTTAGTCCAGCATTCCCCCGTACTCGGGAGGACCTTTGTAAAGATTTGAGTATTTTAGTCTTTGCCCTCACCCTGTAGTTCGCAAAGCAGCTCATGATCACTCTGGCCCCATGGGCGTCAGCAGGGGGTGGCTTCTCGGAGCCGCTGTCACAGGGGGGTTGGGCTGGCTGGGCGTCTCCAGATGGGCAGGCACAGAGCCGGTGAGGCGCCAACTGGATCAGTCTTCCAGAGTTGTTTGCCTGTTGTGAGTTGCGCTCAGGAAACTACACTAGATATCTGACCGATTGTAGGAAGATCCTCATGGAAGGACCTGAGCATACTTGCATTGTTCGGCGTTGTTCGAAAATGCACACTTCGGCCTTCTTTAGACCAACTCAATGCTCGCTGCGAACCCGCACTGACGATGAGGCTCTTGTCCCTATAGGGGTTGCTGGAGACGTGGGCGGCAATTGCCAGCATTAGCCTCTCCACCGGCTTCCTTGCCTGGCGGTTCGCCCAGCCACCGCCCACAGCATCATCTTTTGAAGACGACATACCAGACAGCCCGATCTACACCATAGTCTCGGGGGCGCGCACGCTAGCCCCCCTTCTCAAGTACACGTCCCTGCCGTTCACAACTAGTCTGGCAAACATCCAAGCACAGCTAGAGTCAGCGGTGGGGCAGGCTGATGCAGAGGAGCTGAACCGCGTGTTTGCTGGGGGTGTGGACAGGGTAGCTGAGCTGCTGGGGCTGCTGAATGCGGCCACACTGGAGACCCTAGGTAGCCACGACGGGCGGCTGCGCGACCTCACCGTCCCAAGCAGGTGAGCCCTTCACAATGGACAGCGGACTGCCATCTGAACTTATGCAGTTGCATTCAGATTTGTAAGGGTTTCCCAATCTTGATTGATGTGACGATACTTGACTAACTGCATCTAGCTTTGCCTAGAGTGCCCTCCCTGCTGTTTAGCGTTGAGAAGGAGTCGACTGAAACACTGCCGCTGTCCTGCTTTTCCATTCTCTGCTGGACACAAAGAATGCCGGTCTGTAGAAGAATCAAAAACGAGTCGACACTTGTGTATACTATTCGTGCAGGGCGGCCCTCATTGCGGCGTGCCAGTCTTCGGGCCTGGTTTTCCGCGCCCCGTACGCTGCGCTGGTGCGCGCCCTGCTGCTGGCCTCTGGCGGGGCGGACCTGGCGCTGCTGAAGCGGCTGCTGGACGAGGGGGGCACTGTGCACAATCTGCACAAGCTGATATACGCTGACCTGCCGTCCCCCGATCGGTCGCCCCTACTCGCGCACATCCAGCGGGAAGCGCAGGTGGGCCCCCAGACTCTTGAGGAGCGATCCGGCAAGCGGCATGGGCCAGCTACAATAATGCATTCACAAGGTCGAGAGTGGCGCGGGGCTAGACTGAGAGCCCTTGATTGTTCAGTCGGATGCTCAGCGGCTGACTGTTAGCTTCTTTATACCCTTTTTGATTTTCATAAACGCCGCTTGCGTCTCTTCCGATTCTATGGGAGCAGCTGGGGGCTGCTCCTTCTAGGGTGGACCTTGTGTCAAGATCCTCGAAACATCGAACTGAAACTTTCGTTGAACCGTTGCTGGACACATTTCCTCTGACCCTTTCTCTGGTGCACGCTGCCAGGCGGCCGTTGCCGTGGGCGGGGGCGCCGCGTTGGGCATGAAGGTGGTGTGCGACCTGGACGACACGCTCTACTGCAGCCACGCCAAAAACCTGTCCGGCATCGATACGCGTTTCCCACAATTCTGCCCGTACCCAGGTCGGCCCGCTGCTGCTGCTCTCCGCTTCTTTTCATGACCGACACAGAGTCGAGCAGCTTACGGACAGTGCGACGAGACGGACCGTGTTGCAGTGACTTGCACTAGGGACAAGAACGAGGACCAAGTGTAGCCTCTGATTGTGATGAGCAGAGCCGAAAGCCGACTCTCATGTCTGATTGGGATTCTCTTCTTGCTGTCAATGAGATTGCTCTTGGGTTGCCCTCTTCTTGTGAGGCCACGTGCTGCAATTTCGACTTTGGAGAGTTGTTCGCCCTTTTGGGTCATTGGTTTTCGATCTCAGGAGGGGTCGAGGTGACGCTACAAAATTCGCGGATATCCTTACTATGTCCTCAGTATGGTTTTTTGATAGCGGGTTCACCTTTTGCCTTCGTAGGCGTGTTCGCCCTTCTGGAGGAGCTGGCCCACGCCCACAGCGAAACGGCCGTTCCAGGCAGCTCGGAAGGAGGCACTGCCGCACTAGCTGACGAGGTGAGGACACGTGGCATCTCCAGCCAGCTGAGCCCGTCAATGTGCCTTTTCTAATTCTCGACAATCCGTCTGTGGACACAAAGTTGCGGATTCGTGTCTGCGGTTTTTCCCACCGCCCCCGCCTTGCTTGATTCATGCTGATGCGCAGCGCTCGATCATGAAAGGGCAGAGCACACTCTGGATATCCGACTTCGCTATAGTAATCGACCGATCAGGCGCTGCAGTCGTATGGTGAACGTTGCAAATTCCTGGCTGCAGCCGCCCCCGGGCCTGCCCGGCGTGGCCTTTTTGTGGGCGCGGCCCCATGCGTACAGCGATTGGGTGGAGGCGGCCATCTACCGGTACCTGCACGGTCTGTACCGAACCAAGCGCTTCGCTGTCATGCCCACCGTCCTGCCCGGGTAAGGCGCTCGGGAACTTTTTTGATCACGGATTTGGCCCTGAGGAAGAACGCTTTGGTAAACAAAAAAAAAGGAAGTACAAAGGAGCTCCTAAGTCGCGTAGGCGCAGCCGGAGGATTCTGCGGGGCCAGAACCATCATAAACCTTGGGCGCAGGCGTGGGGCACGGGCATCTCTGCCGGCCGATCGACCCATGAGCTGGGCTGAAAGATTCGGGTGAAGACACATTACTCAGTATGATATGCTTCTTTCCAATTTGGCGAGACGAAACAAGAGGAGATCTGACAGAGCAATCCAAGCGTAGGTTCTTGAATGACTGACAGTCCAATTTCGATTATCAGTGCGGTCTACTTGCTGCATCCCCAAGGACTCTACTCTGCAAAAGTAATTTCGCAGACGAAAGCTCCCATCTCAGATGCATCCATCTTCACCACAATGATTGCTCTATATCTTCGAACCAACCAACCGTTGATACATCGTTTTCTTTCAACCCGACTCCTCCCCTTTCCCGCGTTCCCCAGGTCCCTGTCCGCCGGGTTCCAGGCCCTGTCACGTGGCATCGCTGCTCGCGGAAATCGCGCGGCGCTGATTCGCGCTTGGGGGCCTGTTGCGGACTTCAAGCACCAGCGCTTCCTGGAGTATGCCGCGCTGTACCCCGAGTACCGCTTCCTGCTCATCGGCGACAACGGACAGGTGACACAGCCCCGACTGAGCCCCTCGAAAGTTGCCATTTCCACCGGGTCCTTCTCACTAGTGCGTGAAAACCACAAGAAAAGGTCCTCGCTCGAGCGTAGGACAGGTAACAGGTCTTGTCTTTCAAAGCCTGTCCGCTGATCAAGTCTTTGATGAACTTTCTGGCGGTTTTTTATCTATCTATTCGCCTCACAGGCTGCTCAATCCAGGCCCATGCTGTTGCCGCACTTCGTGATTTCCGAACCCCTTCGACCACTCGTTTTTGCTGCAGGGCGACCTCTCGGTGGGCGAGCGCCTGGTGCGCGCGAGCGCCGAGGCGGCCGCGTCAGGTGACGCGCGCGGCGGCCCCACGATGGTGTGCGTGCTCCTGCACCGCGTGCAGGCATCGGAGTATACGTACTCGAACTACGCGGATTTGCCGCTGAAGGAGCGCCAAAAGCGGTGGGAACGAGACAAGGTGCGGCCACGCCGCTCATCCGTCCAGCTTTGCTGCGACGACGTGTGGCTTGGAGTCCTTCAGCAAGGCAACCGGTGCGCGTGCCTTTAAAGCGCAATACGGTGTACATCGGGAGGTTCAAGGCACGTCAGCAAGGCCGGCACAGCCGCACTCCAGCAGCCACTAAAGCATTACCCCAGAATCAAAGAAAAGCAGGCAACACTTGGATGGAAGCGGAGCTAACCTGGATAAGCAAGAACGGGGTAATCAGGGGAGGGATTGCTTTTGAAAGTACTGGTTCCAAACAGACCCGAGTACCTCCGCCTCCCAGATTTCGCTGACACTTTGCCTAAAGACGGAAGCACGCAACTCTGAAGAATCTCACAAAGTGCACGTCCTTCACCGCGCTCTTCACTTCAATGTACTGCTCCGCACGTTTCTCCACAAGTCGTGGTCCAGTCCCAAACAACGTACAGCCTTTGTGATGAGCTGGCGTCACTCGTAGCATCCAAAATGCCCATGCTAACGTCACTCGTGGCTGCGTGCTCAGGTGTTGTTCTTTCGGACGTACGTGCACGCCGCCCTCCTCCTTGCCCGCATGGAAGTGCTGCCATTGCGCAGCCTGCGCAGAGTCTGGGTGAGCGCTCCCTTTACGGAAGAGTAGCTCAATTTAGCAGCAAAAGGAAGTCAGCAGAGAAGCGTTTGTTGGAGGAGATTGTATGACTGTCGCTTCTGGGGTGACGTCAGACGTGGACTCATTGGGCTAGCCTGTGGTCGACAAAGAGATGCAAGCGGTTTTGTTCGAGCGACTTGCCAGGACACGCTAGACTGGAAGAGTCGCCGTTATGGCTTGCCGCGTGCAGGCGGCGCCTGCTTCGACCCTTTCAAAATGGGTCAAGTCTGAAGGGGAGGGTTCAGTTAGTGATACGTGCACGTTCTGATTGTGCTGTCGACCCGCTATAAAGAATCTGTGCAAATTCTTGTCTTCTGGTCGCAGTCTCAGTGCAGTGTCTCTACTCAAGGGTCCAACCGTTTCAGGGGTACGAACACGATAAGGCCCAATCCTACGGTCACACCCGGACAACAAAAGAAAGAGCTAAGGCACTGCAACGAATTGAAACGACGAACCGTTCCATCCGTACACTAAATTTGTTGCGTTGAATAAAAGCTACGGTTCTGACACGCGTCCCTTGTGGAACTTGCAGGAGGAGGCGTGGAAAGACTTCCGCGAGATCACGGATGATGCCTCTGAGATCCCGCACAGCCATCGAGAGTACGAGAGGCTCCTGCGAAGAGACACGGCGGCCGCTGAACAGCACCTGGCAGCATGCGAGGCTTCGAATCCTTCCGAAAGGCAGGCCTGAACGGTCAAGTTATAATTGCAACGGCTGCCGACTGCAATGTATCACGGAATCCCGTGCGCGCTGACGCGGGCGGCGAGCGGATTTTGTGGTCTACTGTCGACCGCCTTCGCAAGAGCGAGAACCGTCGGGTAGATGATGCAATACTCTCGGTCTCCTCGTGGATAGTTGGCAATGATCAGCATTTGGCATTGCCAAACGCCTTGACTACATCAGATGAGGATGCGGCTGGGCCTTAGCTGCTAAAACCATACATGTATGAGTGAGTAATGGGTGTTGTTGTTTGCAGCGGCTCCGCCCTGGCCTGGCCAAGTTGAGGTTCAGCTACGTCGCAAGCAAGCCAAACTTGATTGTGGACATTGTCAGCGAGCGCCGCATCATTCTGTTGCAGCTTTGATCATTTGATTGGATGTTTAAATTCTTCAGGCTCGTGAAGTTGCGACGGCAGTAGGTGGCTGCGACAAAGCATGCTTGTTCGTCAGTCTAGTCGCTGATTGCATGATTGGCAGTGGGACTGCTGGCCCCAATATGGCAGACACATGACTGCGCGGCGAATATTGCAGTCGTCGGAAGTGACAATATGGTCGTCAAGTCTCTGATGCAAACGTTCATCAGCTACTGTAACGTCATCATGCAATGACATCGCATGACGTCGGACCGTCTTGCGCTGTCACTAGACCGGCTGGCATCAATTCGTCGCGCGCAGAAGCTAGAATGAGAATCTATGATGCACATGTACATTGAATGGCCAACGTTGAATGGCCTGAATTAATTGCTAAGCTTGCATGAAGCCTGGGGCCGCGGCCACGGTCCATATTTCCTCTTGTTCTCAAGTCATGCATGCCGGGCCGCGCTGCATATGCAGGTCCCACGCGCCGCGCGGCCGGGCCCGGCAATGATGGGTCGGCCACTCGCCAGTCAGGCGGCCGCCGCGCGGCATGCTAACTAGTCGACGCCTATTTGGCGATTAACGTGTTGAATTCGATGTACGTACATAGTCGGAGTACATGCACGCGAGATGTTGCTGTTGAAAGATGACTGCAAACGCTGCCCGGCCGCATAACTTGAACTCGACCAATAATATGGAAGTTGAGCCTGAGGCTCTGAAAAGTCTTGCGACCGTCCGAGGCAGACTATGAAGTCATACGAAAGGCAGATTCGATTGCATGACTCATCGTTGGACCTTGCATGCGCAATCAGATCCGACTACAACAGCAAGCTACCGTTCTAATGTGATGGCCCACATGCGATGTTGCGTGACAATGTCAGATCACTATCAGCTCTATACTGAAGATGCTACAATCCACGTTGTCGCCAATCAGCAATCTTACTTATCAGATTGAATTGCACGCCAAAGTGAAATCAAGGCGGAGGCCTGCCGGGACGCCGCAAATACAAAAGTGAACCTATATATGATTGTCTCAGTACAGCTGGATTCAAATACGGGCACCAGAGCTCGAGAGGATGCATGCGAGCCTCGTACTTGCTAGACCCTCAGAACAACCGTGTAGCTCGAAACATTAGTGGTGTCGCCAGGCTGTCACGCACTTCCAATTTCATGTAGGCAATCCGGTAAACAGATCAAACGGTCTCGCAATACCGGATGTTTTGCTGATAAGTCTGAGAGCACGAAAGGTGGACAAAGGAGTGCTTCAGCAGCGGCAGTTCGCGCCAAAGCTCAGGGACATCTCAGATCGTCCTCAATTATAGCCGGTCAATAACCTCTTGAATCTCTTCATCCGTCAGCAAATGAAACTTGGGAGCTACTATCGCAATATCTACGTTCGTAGCCGTAACCTGGACACGAGGAGGCCTTCCGGTCAGAACAATGTGACCACAAGCTTGACGCACAAGTGAGGGATTGCCCGATGCTCACAGAAGGTCCGACTCCGTTGCAGAAGGTTGCACGGATGAGCATCATACTTGGAAAAAACTCTCCCGAAACAACGGCTGTCTGGAATAATCGGCTTTTAAATGAAGAATACGCAAATGGACCTTTACGAAGGTCGTCAAAGAATCAGATGAGAAGTAAACATCGAGACAAAGGCCCTGACGGCTGCTGAAATGAGCGCCTCGAGGCTGACGAAAAGGAAACTAGTTCTCCCACCTTCTCCTCCATGACCTGTTTCAAGGTGGACAGCGCCAGCGTCTCCCCTTCTTTCAGCGTCAGGTCCTGTGCACAGAAAAATCTCTGGTTCAACGCTAGAGCACATTCGGTGTGTCCTTGAAAAGCAACAACCATAAGACATGCGAATTGTTTCAGGGCACAAGAGGCCGGCTGCTTGAGCTGCTCTCTACTGGTTCTCCGAAATCTAAGCAGGATACAGGTAGGTCTCAGAGAAGGAAATGCAAGCGGTCACTGGTGAAGGGCACTAGCAGGCCCTTGAATCATTCCCTAACAGCATAACAGACGGTAGCCGTCGTGCTTCGATGTGGCTGGCACTCACTTATTGGATCGACTTTCACAGCAAAGCTTTCTCGCAGTGCCAACTCGTCCCTATGCTTCTTGTGCACTCGGCCTCTCTTAAATGGTGCCCAGATAGACACCAACCGCTTGCCAAAGTTAACGAGCGCTTGAAACGAAGGGTAAAGGGGAAAAAACAATCAATCGCAGATTGAAAGGCAACCTTTCGAAAACGGTCGACGTTACCTTGTTATAGTGCTCTTGCAAGGACGACTGCGCCCCCTCCGACCCGGAGCCGATAGCCTTAGCTTCGTACTTGACAAATGTGCCGGATGGGTCCGTGTGGTACCTGCACACAGCACGGGCAGCTTGTCTCGCTCAGCTCGGCCGCACAGCCACTAGGAGAACCAGTGCCAGCTTGAAGCAGAGAATTACTCGGTCACTTCGGACCGTCAGAGCAGCCTGGTAGACAAGGGCACGATTGCAAGCAAGATGACTGCGCTTGTCAATAAGCCATCCCAAGTAATCTCCAAGAAACACTTGAAATACGACGATCTGCAAGCCAGAGAAATCAACGCTTTGCAGAAGGAGCGCAGTTCAAGGCAGGAATCGGCGCGGTCTCCAGCTAGAAACGGCTGTCAGAAGCAAAAGTCTTCTCTTCACGGTCCTGGCCGTGTCGTGGACCCCCCCGAGGAATGGCCTCATAAACAAACGATGTATGTGGATCCACGAACGCCAGAAAGCCAGCACCATGTGAAGCTCTACAAGCAGAGACTGTGACCATACAACTGCACGAAACACTGCTAAGGACGTCAGGGCCATAGCTTACAGGCAGGGGCCGCTCTCGTCCCAGCCCGCAATGAGCAACGCCACCCCAAACGGACGGCTCTGCACAGAGAAAGTAAAGCGGGGAAAGGCTGGTCAGCAGAAGGACAAAAAGGGGAACACTAAATGGTTAGCCAGCACACAATGACTCGCAATGACTCAGAAGCCTTACTATTGCCGGACATTTTGGATATGACATACTTTGTAGAGGCTTCAAACCCAGACACACGTTGATAACCTAATGCATTTCCAGAAACTTTCTTGTGTACTATTACCAAGCAGGCAACCATTTCGCAATCAAAGCCGGAAAACCAAACAGACCAACATCGCAGCACATCTCTCACCATGGAGTCCTCCCCATCCTCTCCAAAGCGCAGCGCCAGGTCACAGAGGGACTGCGTGCAGGACTCCACCGTCATGGGCTCGTTGTACGTGAACCGATGGCTCTGCACAACACAGCCACCAGTCTTCAGCACAGCTCACTGACATTGGTGACCACATCGCAAAGCCTTACAGGTTTCCCGTATCGACATGAACACTTGCGCCAAGCAATGATCGATGATTTGCAAAGACGCCACTGCGTCATATTGTGGAAACGCAAGTGATCGGGTTGTCATGTGATGCTATCCAAGGCGGGGACAGTACCAGTCTCAAGTGCCTTGGAGGTTTTCAAAAGAGCGCACTTAGGAGATTCTAAGGAAGCAACCTCAGTGGCGACCTTGAGCGAGTGGGCAATCCCAACAAATGAGGGCAATTTCCCTATCCTGCAGTTGCTTATGGAGCGGGAGAGAAAGTCTGACCTGGGTCTCCGCTCTGGCATGGTCGATGAGAGTCCTGGCGTCAGCAGTGAGCCCGCTCATGGCACACCCAATGTGCTCATCAATCTCCATCACCTTCTCAATACTCCGGGGCTCCTGCAGATAACCAACCACTACATACTATGATACTAGGCTCTGACAGTATTCATAGATATGGAGACTGAGAAACCCCAAGTCACTGAGAAACCCCAAGTCGCAATCAGAGTAATATGAGCATGGAAACCGCCTGATCCTTGAGCACCGAGCAACAGACCTTGATGCAGAGCGCCTATGTAATCATCCTCACAAATTGCCTGGTTCTTAGGGGAAGCTGCAATTGGCTGCACTTACCAGCAGGGGTGACGTGATGCGCTTCTCCACCGCCAGAATGACCCCCTCCTTGGTAGCCACACCCACAGCAGTGGACCCCAGCTGCACACAGACGAGAATGAGGATTAAAGAAGCAGAGCTGCAAGATCATTCAAGGTGAGCTGACGGTGAAGATAGTCTTAGTGCACCAATCGCATTCAGGGCAACCACAGTCTACTTAATTGATCACCCCAAGAATCATCACTTACTTTGATGGCTTCTATAGCGTACTCCACTTGAAAGAGCCGCCCTTCCGGAGAGAAGGTGTTGACGCCGCGATCATATTCACTCCTGCACGGTCCACAACATGCTCAATGAGAGGCGTTGCGACCCTTCTATTACCTCTCTATGTGAAAGTACCAATTGTCATACGCCTCTGCAGCAGTCTGAGAGCGCTCATACACCAAGCGTCAACTAACAGAAGCCCAGACATATTTGTTTTCATCGCAATATGCTCGATTCACAGAACTCGATCCCCTCGGAACCAGCTTCTATGATTCGTAATCGCCCAATAGGGTCAGGTCACAGGTTGCTGATAGGTCAGGTCCTGTGATCGACCTCTACAGATTTTGTAACAACCATCTTAGGTAAGACAATTCCATTGCTTTGGATACCGGATGCTAATCTGAGACATGGCGCCAAGCACAGCCGTTTAGTAAACGACCAACTTTGTGAATTGTCGCATCGAGTTAGCTCTAGCACAGCAGTTAAATTGCAGTAAATCCTCTTACCTGGTGAGAAACATGGTGGAAGGGCCTCGGAGTTCCTGAAAAACAGATGTAATCGGGCACCTCCTGGTTCAATTGAGCGCCCTGAACGCTCCCTCTTTTCTTCAGAGTCTCAAGCACTAGCCTCTAGGCTCTAGGTATGTACGAGAAGAGTGCAGGCTTTGTTTCAATGGTTCGCCTGTCGCCGTCGGGGTTTGCAATGGTTTGAACTTTGAAGTCAGCGCCCGCTTCTTGCCACGGCGCTTCGAAAGGCAGCCTTCATGACACCAGCTTCACAACGCCGAGCAATATTTCCTTCCGAGGTCTCCTTTAGTGTCTTTGTCTGATGTCACCGAGCAAGTAAACCGGCTCGGCGCAGCCATGGTTTTCCTGACCGTGCCTTCAACCAGAAACGTGCAGCACATTCAAGAATCAGGATCAAGAAAAGTGCTCTGAGACTAGTAGTTAATTATAGTACACTCCGGAGGATAGAGAGGAAGGGAGACAGGAGGAGGAGGGGCGAGGAAAGCAGGGCTGTCTATCAGCTGTGATTGCAAGCAGGCTCGCAGAATGCCGGGCTTAGAGGACCGCATAGACGCCATTGGCGGTCTCGGGGGGCTGGAGCTGAATTCCCCGCGGGAGGCAAACGGACTGGTGGCGGATGGGCCGGGGGCAAATGGGCAGGTGGCAAATGGGATAGCGGCCCCGATGGAGGAAGACCTCGCAGCAGAGGAGCAGCGGCGGCAGCGCGCTGCACAGATGGACCGTGCGTCTGCACTGATTGGTCAGCGGATGCTGCAGGGGTGGGCCATGCTCGACATGAGCTGCCCCCAGTGCTACTCACCCATCATGCGCGACAGGCAGCGCCAGCTGTGGTGCGTGGCGTGCGATATGCGCGTGGTGGACGAAAGCCAGCAGACTGCCACCGAGCCGGCGGGGCCAAGTGTGGAGAGGGAGGGTGGGGCGGGCCAGGCAGCCACCCCGAAGCGGAAAACATCTCCGGAAGTGGCGAGAGAGGCCGCAATGGAGGGTAACGTGGGGGAGGAGGGGCGCGAGGCGAAGCGGCAGGCAACTGACTCGGCCCTGACTACCCAGCTGCCAAACCATGTAAGGGCCTAAAAATTTTGGCCTTCTTCAACGTGACACCGTGTTGCCTGACCTTGAAAGTGTAGAGTATTTTCCGGTTATTGATCTCTCACTGGAGCGGATATGAATGAAGTGCGATGGTGAGGTGGTGCTTTGCACAGTATGCAAATTCTGAGTACACTTGTGTTGTGCAGGCGGCAGCTGGAGCGACCAACCTGCAGAGTGCCGCACGGACGCTGCAATCAAGCCTGGTCACCAAAGTAGAGGTGCGCCAAGACTACAAACAAACCTTTCAGCCAGCACACTTCCTGAGGCTCCTCATTCTTTAGGTTGAGTTGCAGACATTAAGCATATGCGCACATTTGTGGGTCAGCAGGGATAACGGAATGTTTTGCTTGTGATGTATCCAAATGTCCCATGCCTGTAAAATCGTCCTGCTTCACTTGTTGCGAGAGGACTATATTGGGTTTGTCGTTCTTAATGTACGCTACTTTGCAGGAGTGCCGGGAGGCCATTCAAGAATGTCGAGACTCAGAAGAGCTTACTCAGGTCAGTGCGCTTCGTTCCGATCACCTCATGTCGCACGTCAAGTCAACAACTGGTTGACAGTGCATGAAACGTTTGTGTTTGTTTTGTTTCTTTGTTGGACCTTGAGAACTGGGCTGCACTCACTTCGTACAACCAAGTGGTGGGATAGATCAGTGGTACTTGATCATGACGACGGCCGTCAAAATCTGCTTCAAGCTTCATGTCCTGACACCGTATTGGTCTTTGGTTGCAGCTTCTTGATCTCGTCCACAAACTTGCATCAACTATCCAGGCAGTCAAGGGGCTAGAACAAATTAGTTAAGAGTGATAGAGGTTGTCGACATGGCTACAATTTTGCAGGGCTTCCTTCAAGCGGCTTCGCTTTGGTGCCAAGTCGCATAAATATTTTCAGTCGACACTTTCAATATTGCCAGCTCAACGTGGAGTTTTACCTTGTGATGCCAGAGGGGCTACCGACCATAAGCAGGCCGCCCTGTCAATCGTCTATGTGGTTGCAGCTGGCCCCCAGAACGGACAGGGCGCCGTGCGAATAGACCCTTATCAGCGCTTGCAAAGATAAGGTTCAATCATGAATGCATGCAGCAAATCGAAAGCTTGATCGGAATCTCGCAGTTCCTCAGCATAGATTGCCGCCTGGCTGCAATTTTCTCATCAGTGTTATGATCCCTTGATCCTGCCTTGGCGGGTGCAAATGCTTAAGCATGCCTTAGTGCTCAGCGGCGGGGCTACTACTGGGCAGCTCGCTGTCCAGTTCTGCAAGCAGGCTTCAACTTTGCGTTGAACCCATATATATTGCCAGGCGGGCAGCTATTCAATGTGACATCAAAATGGAGCGATGCTGGTGGCCCAGCAACGTGACCAACGAGTTGCGATCGGCCAACAATCCCATATTGGCATGGTCCGGTTATATTTAGTAGAACTTACTTCATATGTCGATATCGACCACGAGTTTGCATGCATGAGTCTAATTGGCCACATCATGTGTTGCCCCCGACTTCCGATTATGCCACAGTGCAATGACGGAACTTTTGTGAGTGGCACAAGTGATCGGGTGAGTAACGACACCTGGGGCATGCAACCATGTCCTGCTGGGGTCATGCCAACGTGCAAGAATTCTGGGCCACGAATGATCCCGGCAGGGAAAGCTCAGGCCTACAACCAATCAGTCTTCCAGAGTGCGTAAGGAAGCAATGGCGACAATCAGATGTCCAGATTATATTGGGTGCGGGCACACTGTGTCTCAAGTCTGTGTACGGTATCTATTCAAGCGCACTTTTCTTCCGTTGAATCTCACCGTATCCTATGCCACAACCTCCAACTGCAAGTCAATTTGGCACGAGGCTTCTGTGCACTCGTTTTCCGGGTCCAAGTATAGGCAAGGGCTGTTCAATAAGTTGGGTAAAGAAGGTTCGGATACCTGCAAATGTTCCTAGATCCAAGCGCGACCAACAGCCCAAAGCTCACGTAGGCAGTCGCGATCTCCGGAGTGATTCCACCACGCCATCCCCCTTGGCTTGGTTCTTTGGGTCAATAACCTGGGATAATCAGACATCCGGCATCAGTGATAAAAATAAATAGCAGCCTCAGCAAGACGCCTCGCCTGCAGGGTGTATTCTGCAGATGCTGATTTGAGAAATATTGGCTCAAACACTTTCCACAAACTCTGGATAATCGTGACACGATTCAGGCTCGATAACGGGGCAAAACACACCAACAAGCCCAAAAGGAATCTTGCCCCGTTGCGGACGAACTTGACAAGTTTGGCGTCATTGGAGAGGAGTACATCACGAGTCGGTTGGACAACCCACATGAGGGGATGTTTCATTCTTTATAACAAAGGAAACAAGCAGTACGAAAATCGGCATACACGACCTTCGTATTTAATCTTCAAGGCACGACGACATGGTCGTGGTGGCTTAGGAAGGCTGCTTTACCTTGTCGATGATGTTGAACTCCACCGCTTGTTGTGGGCTCATGTATTTTGGCCGCGAGATGGCCAGGTCGATCTCCTCCGGGGTGTGCCTCGTATGTTTCGCTAAAATTTCAATCTGCGGATATCCAAAGTGTCTGAGTACCCACCCACGTAGCGTCATCCGTTATAAGCTTTCTGAGCCACAACGTCATTGGCAGTCTCCTTACTTTATCGCCAGGAAAAGCTCAGACGCTCCCCGTGCTAGCCTTGAGCAAACATTCTTGATGATACGACGAAAACTCGTTTCAGATACTGCAGGATTCTTTTCCCTCCATCCAACCCCCCCAGGTTCTTGTACGGCGTAAGAACCCAAGAATGACAACATAAACGCCTCGACAACTTGGGAGCGTGCGTTTTCTGGCTAGTCAACAACCGCTTAATTGAGAATCCGAACACTACGTACTCAGACCATTCTGCTGACAAGTTGCAGACTTCCAGTCACACTCAAATACTCCACTCGGAGCTCCGTCTCCAATTTTCCCTGCCCACTTTCTCTGGGGCCACTTAGAGTTCCAAGTAGCCCTCTAGAAACTTTTCCAGCGCCTCAAAGGTTCCTCCTCACCAGCTGGTTCTTTGTCCGCCGCACCTCCTTCCGCTGGTTGTCAATGTCGGTGGCCTGCCCCTGGAACTGGGCGACTGGCTGCGCACGACACAGAGTGCCTCCGAAGTCAGATATCACTCAGATATCATGCATCATCGTGCAAAGCAGTACCTTGTTTCCTGTTGATGGTGCCGCCGAACTTCAATTCGACCCGGACCAGTTTCGAGAAGATCCGTAGATTCGAGATCAAAGTGTGCGGTTGGGATTGGAACAGAACGTTGTTTCTCAGAGGCACAGCCGAAATCGTTTCTCCTTTTCACTTCAGTTTGTCCTAAAAATTGTCAAGCATCTGTGAATTGAGAACTCTAAGCTCAAATCTTTGCAACCGGGTGGACGCTTCAGGTTTCAAGTACTAGACAACTCCGGATCTGAGTTGGGCAGATTGACCTTCAGCTTCTTTTTTCCTGCCTTTAAACATCACTGCAGGCTTTATTCGACAAACGTCCTCACCTGCTTAATCATGATTGTGGCTGACGGCAGCGCTGCCCGGTTGCCTTTTGCGCCAGCTGCCAGCAAGAAAGCCGCCTCACCCCACGCACTGCCCACTGCCAGAGTGTAGATCTGGTTCTTCACATACCTGGTGCATTGAAAAGGGTTCAGCGGCCGGCCCTAAGAAAAGATGGCCTTCTTCTAGTGCAAATGTGGAAATACTTCCAGAAAATGATTCCCTCTATGCTTTGGTCACGCAGATCTGTCGATCATCTTGACGGAGGGAGTCTGACTCGCATTAATCTAAGCAATCGTTGCTGAAGCATAGATGGCAGGAGTCAACTGTGAGTGACAAGTGGTCAAGAAGGAATGTAAGCTGCTGTAAAGCCCAAGACTTACATCATGGTGTCGTATATGGCAAACGCCTCTGTCTCGTAGCCCAACTTCTCTCCATCCTGCAACCATCACAATGAAACATCAACTCAAGCTGCAAGTGATCAAAGCTGATTGGTATTTGGACACATGGTTGTCAGTATGGGAGTATCCACAACAATGTAAAGGACGAAACCGCTTCACCGAAAGGTCGCACGGAGCCGAATCATAAATTTTCTAAAGATTCCAAGGGAACGGATTGCTTGTCCCTTTCCTGCATCGTTCAGGCAAGCTTAATTAACCTACTTCAGACTTAGCTAGGTCGACAATCGCTACTTCTTTTCCAATCCCGGCGTCACTAATCATCGAATCTGAGACAATTATGGAAAACCAACCACTGTGACACTCAAAAAATGACTGGCACTGGCGGCGCACCTTGGTTGTTCCAGTGGAGTTAATATACATATAAATGGGCTTCTTGGGATCGTCGTACTGCAGATACAGCAGCTCGGCCACCAGGAGCTCCGTCACGGCGGGCACCAGCGACATGCCAATGTACACGATGCGGTTCTTGAAGAGGTAGGAAGCGAGGTCGGGGGGCGGCTGCTGCAGAGCGTCTCCCCGTTGGAATGGGATGACCTGCCACCAAAAATGTATGATTCAGTGAGCTTCATGTTTGAAGGCCCGACTGACGTCTGATGCTCCCCGCATCATAATGCAAGCGGACTCGAAACAGAGTCTGTCAATAGGAACCTGCGAGCAATCTGTTTGTATGATGCACAGCCTCCGGGATAGGGATCATGGAAGCGGTCAAAGGTCAAGATGAGTCTTCCCCGCGTAGCTGGCTCTCCACCAACAAGGTGAAAAGCAGGTGGCAGTGTCACGATACAGAAGATCGAGAGCGAACCCTTGCTTGCTAATACCGAAACCCAGGGACTGCTACCTATCGATGAGAAGGCTGGCATCGAGTCTGGCGGCCCCAGCTCTTGCACACCATCATAAGCAGTCCGGTGGACGCATCACCGATGCTGTAACTTGCGACAAACGGCCCAAAGGCGCCACCACCTTTGCAATAAGTTTCTCCTTGAGCAAAGACGGAATACCAACAGGCCGCATGCGATGCACAAATGATCACTAGCGCCTCTTCACCATTTGCTGATGCAAATCGGCAGCAACTGACGGAAATGGGTAAAGGTCTGCCAGACCGCAGAGCAGCGGGCTTCATTCTACAGCGACACTTTTCAAAAGTTGCACTGGTGAGAAGAAATGGGACTCACCATCTCTACCGGACCCCGGACGGCCCTCTTGCTGCTGGGCCTCCTCTGCTGGCATCGCTTTGCGAGTGACGGATTGCTCCCAGCAAACTGACTCTGCATTGAGCTGCTCACGTAAGGAGACACAAAATTGCTTCTCAGCAACGGTGCAACCCCCGGCACCCTCCCACCTGTCCCCACCGACTGAGTCCTATCATACTGCGCGCGGGGACACGCATGCGCCAGACTATGGGAGGGGAGCAGCCTGCAGGACAGGGCCATGCTGAACCTTCCCAAGGAATGCTTTTGAGGAACTCAGCGAACTTCCTAGAATTGAAAAAACTTTCGCCAGAGCCCTAAAACTTCCTAAACCTGATGGAGGTGGTGTTTGCCAGGACTCTTGGCTGCCTTGACCCTGAGGGTAGCACGAGAAGCCCTGCACCAGCTCCCACAATAGCAGCTCTTGCTAATGTCGCTTGAACTTATAAGCACCCTGGCGCTGCCTTCTGCCAAGCGACGCCCCAACCTTCCAAACGACCCAGGTTCCTTCTTTCGTACTCGTATTAGTAAGAAACTCTCGATCGGTGTCTCGCAGGTGGCTTATAAATGTAATCCTCTGGCTACTTAGAGGTGCGAATATGCAATTTCCGAAGCAATATATTAGCGGCCGCGTCTTCTTAGGAGCCGATACCGGGCCCGGAAAGGAACCCGCAATTACCGTTGACAAATCATAGTCTTCAAACTTATATACCTATTAGCGGGTCTCCTATATTCCTCAAGCTGACCTCGGATACACCATCATCGGTGACCATGCCGAGCTATTGCTCATGAACTGGAGAAGGAAGAGCAGCTTAGCGTGTGCAAAGGATGCCAGGGTCCAGTGGCAGAGGAAGAGAGCGTTCATGAATCACATGATCAGGACCAGGGGCAATCGCACTTTCTCTAAGTACCTAGGTGCCCTCAAGTTGACAGGGTCTCGTTGGTTTACTACGGCAGTCGGATGCAAAGCGGAAATGTGTACATTAGAGAACATAGTATAAGAGAATGCGAAGCAACGTGTGCAAAAAATACTCTGCAGCAGGCTGAGCAAAAAGTTCGGAGTAGCCGAAGCTTTTTAATGGGTGCGCTCGTGTGAACCCAGCCGGCAGGATGTGCCTTTCTACCAAGGTTTAGGGGCAGCCAAGGACTCAAACCCACCAGAATTGCAGGGGCTCTCCTTTTGAGGCACCAGGTCGACACCAGATTGTACTGATGCGGGCACTTTGTGATGTGTGTGAGGCCGCCCCGGCCCTCCTGTTTTGTGCTGCTGACGAAGCTGCACTTTGTCGACCATGCGATGAAAAGGTGGGACGATTAATGGTTGGCCCTGCACCTTAGAAAGTGTGCCCCTTGGATTGCACACAGCTTGTGGAAAGAAGGGCAGAGAAAGTTTGATTATGGCTTCCGCCTCCATGAGAAGGTTCTGGAATGTATCTAGATGCCCAAGTTCGTACATCGTAAGCTAAGATTATATGTGCTTGCGATGTGACTCCTGCTTCGCTGGAGCTCAAGAATCCTTCATTTGGTACTTCATCTGAAGGCCATCGGGAGGGCATCAGCAGTATTCAGAAAGCAGGCCATTTGGATTGTTTGTGGTCGGCACAACGTCATTGCAAGTTTGCCTTTTGTGCATGATGTCGCGGAGAGGGCAGTCGAGTTTGAGTCTGTCTTCCGCTTGCATTTCGCCCCCACTCACGTAGCCGCAACTTTGTTGTGGTCGCCGGTACGGCTGCCTTGTCGTCTCTTGGTGATGGCGGCAGGCTCTGTCTGGCTGCTGAGGCAGGCTTAACGCTTGGTGGGTCGCTCTGCGTGTAGGTCCATGGATGCAACAAGCTGGCGAGCCGGCACGTCCGCCTGGAGCTAGCCGAGGCCCGAGCAGTCCCAAGCTGCGATGTCTGCGAGAAAGCCCCCGGTGAGTCATCTGCCCTGTACCGAAGATGTTGAAGGGCACAAACTAACTAGGCGAATTGCTTAAGTAAATGATAGATATAATCCTCCTTCATCAAGACTCAGTGTGCATCATGAGTGGTCTTCAAAGAAGGGGGGCACCCTTCTTCTCGGAGAACGCTTTGGACCGGCATTCTCGCTATTGCCCCATCGTGGATTGTTTGAAAAGCACGCAGCGCTTGCCTTGCCCTTACTTTTGCACGTGGGAATGTATTGCTGGCTTCTCAAGCGGGGGGCATCTTTGAAGCCTGTCTGTCAGAGTGCACAAAGCGAAGGCGAGGCATCAATGGGCTGGGCTGGGGCTTATTTGACCTCTGGTGCTGTTGCGTGCAGCCTACTTTTACTGTGAGATCGACGGCACGTCGCTCTGCCTCCAGTGCGACATGGACGTTCACAGCAGCGCAGGAAAGAAGCTGCACGAGCGCTTCCTCCTCATGGGCCAGCGTGTCGAGGTATGGCGCATGGGCCAATGCACTGACTTTCCTGATCCTTTGGCAAAACGCTTTGTAGCACCTTTGCTATATTAGTCAAGGTGTTCTTAGAGTTCTTAAGAGCCTTGTAAACCAAACCCACCTTTCACCAATTGGTGAATCTACAGGGCCGGCACAAGTTAGAACTTCGGAATGCTCATTTGTGCAAGACGATGTGTCGGGCAATCCTCTTTGCATATTAAACGGGGATCAAACAGTATGTCAAAACTTATCGCGGACAGTCCATTCCGGGCTGTCTGGGTTGATACATCGGGGTTGGAACCAAGCTGGCACTAGCAACTTGACTACCTCTCAGAAGGATCAGTAGGATCAGATCATACATGCGTTCTTGCGAAGCGCCGATGCGCGAGCGGAGCGGTGCAGCTGCTCTTATCTAAAGTGATGCGCTTTCGCTCCCAGTCATTTTCGTTTTTTCTCCTCGTTGTAGATCCCCATGGCCCCGGGTAAGCCGGAGGGCGGCGACAAGGTGCCCGTCCTCCAGGAGCAGCGGCTTCACCAGAACGGGAACGCACACCCCAGCCATCGTCACGGCAAGCCAGACGAGGAGGTGCGGCCGAAAGACGCCTTCCTCAAATCATGGTTTTCTGCTCGTTTCTTAATCTTTCAAAGCCGCTGTCGACGTCATACTGGGTTGTGCGTCACATGATTGGCCCGCAGCTCTAGCCTTGTGTGCCTTATGTGCATTGAAGCAACGTCGAGCCCTGTGTCATAAACGGCAGATTCGAGCTTGCATTGTGTTTACAAGCACCTTCTTTGCGCAGGAGCAGCCGATTTGACTTGGAGCTTTGATGCCCGACCTTCTTTTCCCCAGCACTCACAACCCTTTGAAATCAGGCTGCATCTGTGATGAGACCATAAAGTTAACAAGCTGCCTGTATTTTCTAGACGTCGGGGAATGGACGATGCGTGGATCTCGTGACCTGTTAGTAAGGGACTGTTTCGTCGATTCCTGCAGATGCGGGAGGCGCGTGTGGCGGACAGCTCGGGCACGGCCATGGCGACGGCCATTGGGGGTGAGCCTTCCGGCGATGCCGACACGAGCAAACAGGTAGGGGACTTCTGTGAACTTGGCCGCCCGCCGTGTAGCACAACATCAACACCACCGTTGTCCTCGAGTCTGCTCGCAGTCCTAAGTTCGATTCAATGTGTCAGTATCCGAGGAAGCTGGATGCCGCCCGTTTGCTGAGGCGTTAGGTATGGATGCCGGCCTGCAGTCCGATTTAGGTCCGACAAAATGGGAACCAATCTGCACACTGTGTCAAGATGGTCTTTGTTGATGCATCCTGGCTAGACCTGGCTGTTTCCTTCTGTCGTGGGTGCCGTTTGTGCTTCGCCGCCTTTCATTTTGTTGCACAACAGAGACTGGCTTGTGTCGCATGCATCAAGTGCATTGCTAAGGGCACGTCATCAAGATGCTCATTCCACCGACTTTCAATCTTGAAATCCCGGGCGTGCATTGACCGTGCTCTTACCTTTTGTGGCGCGCAGAGTTTGTTGGACTTAAATCGGTGCCCCCCGCCGCGGTCGAAGGGGGAGCATTCGAAGCAGGCGGCAGTGTCAAGTGGGGGTCACCGTAACGGCCCCGCTGCTCAAGCTGGGCAAAGTCGTCCTCCTATGAACGACCAGGATAGAAACGAAGTGGGATAACGGAGTCAAATAATCTAGCCACAGCATTGGACAGTTGTTGCATAGTCAGGTTGCTTAGTCAAGTTGTACACTAACGTACTTGCTTGCATGTAGGCAGATGCATTGTTTGGTGTTGCATGACGTGGAAACGCTCCACACAGCTCACACAGCTGACTGGCCAGAGCAGAAGTCTTGAGGGGCTCTTAAGGTGCTTTGGGATGTGATCGGACGGTCCGATTTCGATCGGTCGATTGCTGGAAACAAGTAAACAAGCTTGCTGTTTGCATGTTTCTCCAAACCAAAGGTCCTCAAAGAAGATGCTTCACAGCTCGGAGCGCCCTGTGACCAGCAAAGGATGGTTTTTTTTCTGCTCTTAGAGCTTCTGTCTCAGTGTTCACGAACTCCAGCTTGTCTCGATATGCCCCGTGCCGTTAGACAAAGGGTTGGGCCCGCCACCAACCAATAGTTAGATTTGCCAGCGGCAAGATGCAAACTTATGCCCTTCACACGTGATGGATTATATCATTTTCATTACATGAGACGTAGTCTAGATTGTTTATCTGCCTGCAATGCGTGCATGGCCGCGTGTAATCCTAGCCAAAGTGAATGCATGCAGATTTAAAGCGAGCGATCGGAAAGCCCGATGCAAAGATCGCGTGCTCACAGAACCGGTGGAAGGAGAACGCGGACTACAGTTTGCAGTCCCAGACCCCCACACCGCCTGGTACTCAAGGCGCGCGCGGGCCGGTACGTACTCCGTTAAGGATTGAACATCAGTGCGGCCGTACGTTCGCGGCCGACATTCAAGTGAAAGACCCCTATGTGGGTCGCCAGCGATCCGGGATGTCAAACCTCGCCGGCGGTGACGTTCCCAGACCCGGTGCTCGCGCACAGAGTACCAAGCGGTGTGGGGGTCTGAGATTGTGCAGTCCACGTTCTCCTTCCCTCCGTTCTCACAGATAAGAAGCATCATTGGCACAACTAGCAGCTGGCCTGATGCGTCACGGTCGGCGGCCGGCCGCCGCGCGGTCGCGGCCGGGCCGGGCGGGGGCCGTTCATGAGACTTTTAGAACGGAATTCATGAGACTTTTAGCACGAACCTTTTGCGCGCGCATGCGCACGCTGGTATGTGGTTTACCTGACGTCGGGTTAGGGTTTACAATTGCATGCCTAGGATAATAGCCTTAGCCTTAGGCTTGTTTCTGAACTTGAAGTTGAACTCTTGGTCGAAGCTGGATTTCCAGGTGAGTCTGGCTCAGGGGCGCTTTCTGCCTACTAGGTAGTACCCAGGGCACTCGTCATAACTTCAAGGAGCTCTGCAAACTCTTGTAGGCTTCTAAAGGGTCTTGCAGGCGCCCAAGAATGGAGGCTGCCCGCCTGCGGGAGTGGTACTCAGCAGCACAGGCGCTGATTGCCGAGCTGGGTTCGAAGTCTGCAGACCCTGAATCGCAAAGAAATCCAGACTTTGATCTCCACAATAAGCACTTCCATCTCTATCGGTTAGTGCACAGAATAAAGAAGGGAGCCGGGAAAGTGAAGCAGGGGGAAAGTCGAGCAATATGGTCAGAGTAAGTGGTTAGTCTGCGTGTTTGCTTTCTTGCACATTAAGTGGCAGGTTTTGCTTGTTTTCTGACCCTTCGCTTACCCTTCTGACAAGCAGAATGAGCCTCATTCCTGATCACGTTTGCAGTTTTTAAGGCACCATCAATGGATGATTTTCCATTAAGTCATCCTCAATATGGAAGGGGTGTCGGCACGCATGCTGCATTGATCAGGTCAGCAAGTTGCTGCTATGATGAAGACTTCTGGCCATTCTTTCAGGAGAGCGGGCACACTGCAGGCCGAAGTACAGGAGCTGACTCGAAGCATCATCCAGAATGCCGACAAGGTGAACAGTTGCCCTTCTGACTGCCTTCACCACCATGGCGTACTTGAGTTCATACAGACCGGAAACATGCATTCCCTACATCTGACCAACAAAGTGAAAAACAGAAGGAACGCCTTAAGGCTGGCTTGCTTGGTTATCATCTACTTCTCTGGTCCGCAGCACCGCGTGTATTCTCTACTAGTTCTGCCATCTGCCATCTGCCAGTGCTTCTGCCCTCTGCTGAGAAACCTCAACATAAACCTTTACAAAGACAGTACTGTCTTCCAATCCAATAGGACACAGTTCCCAGCCTCCTGGCGGCGGGTGCGTCCACCGCCGAGGGCCTTGAGTCTGACAAGGCGTCACTCCAAGAGTCCGTCCAAGCCGCCAAGTACACATGCGAGGCGCTAGAGGCCACAATAAGCGAGCACGCAAGCGCGCGAGAGCAGGAAGCAGCCACGCTCTTGGAGCTCCGGACGAGAACAGTGGTGTTGCAGCAAGATGTCCGGCAACGAGAGGCGGACGCACGCGAACTAGTGCAGAGGCTACAGGTGGGGGCACACAGCACCAATTTGATTTTTCCTTGTTACGGTCGAATTGGTGCGTCATGATGAGACTCCGGTGGCTCTCTCGGAAGACTGTTCTGTGTCCACCGACGGTTCGGATTAGTTCTTTATTTCTCCTCCATCCTAGAAGGTCGAACTTTGATAGGCTGCTAAGCACAAGTAAGAACCGGTAAGAAAAAGTTGTAACGGGGCGTTCGAGGCAAGGCGTTATCATAGCTGGCGGAACCTGAAAAATCTTTGTTCTCACCTTTCAATCGTTTTTGGGGTGCTCAATGAGAGTTGGGGCCAGACAAGAGTTGCTGTCTTAAGATACGAAACATGGTGCAAGTCTCCCTTTCCACAATCGTTTTCGAACCCTGGCTACAGGGAGCGGTAAAAGAGAAGGAGGCGCTGGCGGGGGAAAAAGAGCGCATGGAGGAAGATGTGCGCGCGCGCGCGCAGCTGGCGGAGTCGCAGGGGCAGGTCATAGCACAGCTGATGGCGGATAGCGAGGAGTCAAAGCGCGAGCTCGAAGGGTTAAGAAAGAGGGTCACGGAGGCTGAGCAAGAGGCGCACGTGCTGAGAGTGAATTTGGGGAACCACGGGCAGGTGATCGAGAAGCTGATCCTATTGAATTCGGAGATGATGGAGGCGGGGAACAAGTATGCGGCGTGGAAAGAAACGCACGAGGCTGGGGGTGCAAAAAGTAACGAGACTGGGGAAGATGGGGAAAAGCGCACCAATGTTTCTGGCGATAGAAGGGGGCCGACAGAGGAGGGGGCTGCCGGGTCAAGCAACGGTGTCGCAGGAGAGGGCACCAGAGAGCGGAGGGGAGTGGAAACGGGGGCGCGGAAGCAAGCGGTGAGAGCCGAGGAGAGCCGAACGGAAGCGGGGGCCAGTGACGATGAGCTGCCCGTCAGTGGGACGTCAGCAGAGACTGGCGGCAAGGAGTTCGCTGCGAACAGACGGCCCCAGGGGCTGAGTGAAGAGAGTGACGAAGTGGACAAGCGACCCAGTATCAGAGTTGAGAGTAGAAAGCCCGGCCAGGACTCAAAAAGTGGAGACGCTCGAGCGAAGCCCGTTGATCGAGATCAGGAAGCGGGAGGTGGCGTGGAGGCGCAATCTGCACAGGTGAGAAAGGACTACGGTACTTACCTTGCTCGTTCTTTGTGGGGCTTTTGTCGGATGAGCAAGAGGTCGGCCTGTCGGCTGAAATCTCCGTTTGCTCAGAACTTTGCGTTAGCTTCGCATGGCCCGCGTTAATTTAACAGTATGGACGAAATAGCTCGTCTCCGCTGGACAGTCTTCCATTTCCATAAAGGAACGCTTCCTCATGGAATAAGTCGAGGACCATCTCATTAAACGCCCTCCTTTTTTGCAGTCGAGTACAAGCAACGGCCATGCTGCTGAGATCCCCCGAAAGCCGCTCAAGTGGACGTCTGACATGCTACCGCTGTCGCAGCGACCAACTTCGCCCCCACCGCAACGAGACGAGGCGCCGCAAGGGCAGCCGGATGCGGCCGGCTGGGTAGGTAGTAAGATACAGGGGGTCGGGGGCAGGGCCCGCGGGTTGCTGAACTATGTCGCCGGAATGGACAAGGCGCCGACTGCCACAACTTAGCTACAGAAATAGGTACTGTTCTTACTGCATAAGTGCTAGCTCTAAAACGGACCGTTTGGTACTAGGACAGCCCGTTTGACGTGTCTCAGCGCAGGAGTTTCCAGCTTGCGAAAGAGAAGCAGGTGCTTCCTTAAGCATCGCAAAACTCCGTTTATCCACGTTGTAAAATAGTGTTTGTATGTCGGTTAGCACGCTTGTGCTCTCATGCAATCTTCCCAGTGAAGAGCTTCTGGTACAAGCCATGCAGGCGCTTGGTTTCGGAGATCATGCAGGTCGTCAAATCGCGAGGCCGTGGATCATGCACGCGTGATCATGTATAGATTCTGGATCCCAGAACCATGTCACAAAACCCGTACTTCGTAATATGTCACATTGCTTTCTTATCTCGTCTATTTGAAGAATTGATATGTTTGCGCATCAACTCAATCGTGCTCAGCTGCACATTAGTCGTTGGATGGTCCACGCTACATCTGAATAAGCATAGTATTGTATACATGCCGCCATGGCTGGCATGATGTGCATACAGCTCAAAATAACCGCACACGTAGCTGCCCTATACTGAATGTAGCACCTGCTGTTCCAAGACCCTCAAATCTACAGCTAAATCACACTAAAAAAATCAATGCAGAGGTTAATCAGGTACGGGAAGCGATCATCTGTGTAGTAAAGTCGCTACTCTATCTACAGTGCTTTCCTTCCAAACCCATACGTCAAGTCACCAGTCTCCCTCGTCATCATCGTCCTCGTCATCATCGTCATCATCATCTTCGTTATCGTCATCGTCCACGTCATCCTCGTCTTCATCATCGTCGCCCGCGTCCTCTTCATCGTCATAACTTACATCCTCATCGCCCTCCTCTCCGTTCTCACCCGCCCCTTGCGCGCCGTCAACGGCCCCTTCACTGTCGGTTTCTTCATCCGAACTGCATTCTTCCCCGCGCTTTTTCCGCGGCTTCAGTTCGTCAAACCAGCTATCATAGTCGTCGGAATCTCCCAAAGCCTCCGTGTCGTGAGAGTCAGGTGGATCGTCGGAAAAGTTGTCTGCAAACAACAAGAGGAAGGACCGTTTGATTGAAACGGAAGCGGCATGCAAAAGGCGTATACCGAAAGGGTGCAACAAACGTACCCTACTGTATGAGAATGCGACGCCGCAAAAGAAAGAAGAAAGGATGAAAGGATTATATGACAGCGCCCAAGGGGGGCAGATAACCAAAGAAGAGAAACATGAAAAGAGGTGTCTGTTGCAAATCAACGCCCAAATTTTTTGAAGACGCCGGCCTGCCAGATAAGGTCCGAAGCGAATCCACATTGCCAGCACACAAAGGAAGTCTTTGGCAGGGTGCCTGAAAATCAAGCACCACACAACGAACTGATACGAAACTGTTAAGGAAGTTTGAGGGGAATGGTACTTAAGTGGTATTCCAACACCAGACAGCTGCACAAGTACGCCTTTGAAGAGGACCAGCAAACTTGGCCCGCCTAAACCTAACGAGCAGGTCTGCTGAAAGATCATCCTAACACTGGAACCCACTGCCCAGCAGACCCGATATTGCGGGCGTTGCAATCCTGCGTCCTTTTCACCAATCCGGGCCAGATACCGTGTACTTGAGATCGTGGCCACCCACAAACCTCCGTACTCGTGATCAAGTTGGCCACTTATAGGAAAAGTATTGAGTGTGCACCTTCCGAATCGTCGTCCGTGCCCAAATCCGGGTGGCATTTTCGGAGCAGCCCGCACGCGCCACAGTACCGCGTTGCGGGCTCCTGGCCAAACTGGCGCTCCTCGGCAGAGAAGACTCGCTCCTGCGTCTGCGCATAGGGTCCACAATCTCTGGTTGATATCGGTGGAACAGCGAAGAGGAGGCAACCAACTCTTACGGAGCCGCTCAACAACCAAGTTGCATGGCGCCCTTGTACGGTGGTGCCCTGTGGACATGCGACATACATATAACCCAAAAAACAAGAATTTAGAAGGCTGCAACCGACCCAAGATTGCCGCCAGCGGCTTCGTGAGGACCGTTGCCAACGTTCGAGCCGAAGAGACGGAGGACTCGCGAGTCGGGCATGTAAAGGAAACGGTAGGTCGAACTGGGATAGCGAGTGATAAAGTCCATGGCGCTCCGCTTTATCAAAATCTGCAGACAATTCACAACGCAACAAGAGCCGCTCCTTACCCGGACGCACTCCTCGCATAAGACAGGGTACTCGTGCCGCCGCAGTTCTTCCACCGTCATATCGTCGTTATTGCACGTGCAGATGCATTCATCGAGCCGACACGAGTCGCACACGATGTTGGGCGGCAGGCACGGGCCGGTGCACTCCCGTACGTAGTTGCGCGCGCCGGCGTCGCACACGGGGCAAAGAAGGACGTCGCACTTGTAGCACGGGGTGGCCCTGGAGAAAAGATCCAAAAACCAGTTTAGATTCATGACATTCTAAACCTTTGCATTTTATAGTTCCAGGGGGTAAGATTTTACAAGGGCACGCTTCGGATGTCGTCAGCAGGTAAGAGCCATATGTTGCAAGTGTTGCTACGTTGTTCAAGCGGTTGGGATGCATTGGTGTTGCTTCCGCAAGGCAGATCACAAAGAGAATACTTCAACGACCCTACCAAAATGTTGGACCTACCAATGCTTACTGACGGCCCATCAAGGAAGGCTTCAAGCTTGCAACTTCTTGAATCGAAAAGCTTGTGAGGAGGAGCCATGACAGTGGGCGACGACAGTAGTGTACGATGACAGAAAGCAGAACGGAATATGCAACCAAAACATGCCACGAGCGCCGACATTAGCTAGATATCCGTTCACGATATCGCTGACCGAAGCTCAAAATTGACATGCAGCCCCGCAACATCCGCAGGGTAGAGCAGTCGCCCGACAAGGATCATATCGAGAAACCAATTCCAGCGTGAATCTGTGTGAGCCTTGTTCGGAAGGTGCTCACCGGTCCGGGTGCTCGTCCAGGCACTCATCGCAGATGGCGCAATTACAGTGGGCAAAGTTGAGGTCCTGAAAGTGGTCAACGCACCCAAATTTCTGGCAGCGTACGCACTCTACCTGCACAAGCGGCACACTCTGTCATTGCACAACGTCAACAGGAATGGATAGCGCAGTGGATTGGACAGCCCAGAATGCAATCGTTCATGTCAAGGTTCGGTGTAAAACCATTTTAATAAGTCCAAGGTTTGATGATGCTGAAATGTTCGCAAAGTGTGTTCTTCGCTTGCAGATGACCAGAAATAGTATCCGGGTGGATTCGGTCTATTTGAGGAGCATTTGGGTTCGGAATAAGAAAACCCAGGAACTGAGAGATGATATTTTCGATGCTTGCAGGCAATGCTCATGAAGTAGCAGGAAATGAAGCGAAACTTTTTCGACCAGAAAAGTGCTATTGAGCATGAACCAGAGCGCTTCTTGCACTCAATCTGCAGTTGCGCAGTGGGCACAAACGACCGCCTCTTCATGTGAAATCACAAATCGCCAATGCCGAAGCTACACAATATTGCAATGGAAATCATGAAGAGGAAAGCGAACGAAAGTGGAAGAACACAACATGGTCAAATCAATGGAACCCAAAACTCTTCGGACTCCTTCAAGACGCTTCAACTTCCTACAACAGCTGTTCTTGTCACTCACCATGTCCAGTTCCAGGTTGGGTTCCCGGCACCCTCTCACTCCGCACCACTCACACTTTTCGAGCAGATGTGACGATAAACACCGGTCGCACAGGGCCATCCAGTCGAGCAGGCCCCCCACCACAGGTAGGCTGGTCAGGCGCATCAAAACTGCGGGGTCGCACCCCTCCAGGCTTATTCCTGAGAGGCGCACGCTCTGGAGACGACGTCTGCCTGCAGACCTTTTTCTGTCAGAAATGGTTTATGGAGATCCAGGCCCCCAAGACCGGCTCCGGCGTCGTTGTGATACTTTGAACCCGGCAAACCGCAGGCCAGCTTTGCAGATGATCGACAGCGTCTGCTTTCCTCCTTCTACCTCCCTCTTGACTTCTGAATGTTGTTCAAGCCTCAAAGTCTTGTGACAATTACTTGCTGCAAAGATTCAGCGACATGATAAACATCCCCCGAAGGAAGAGGAAGTTGAAGCAGATGTCCCTTTAGAAGAGACACCTGCGGCTCATGTGTCGGGCCAGCAACACGTATCAATCAGAGAATCGATGTTATGGCCATTCTAGCAATCCAGTCTTCACCCCACTCAAGGAACATGCTGAACAGGAGCTGCCGGACAGACCCTCCAGCTGTGGCGACATTCTCCATACAGTTACTGACCATTTTTGGTCAACAGTAACTCAAACCTTCTGTAACTTCTGCGTTATCCACTTTTGAAAGGCACATAGAAGGAGAAAACGGAGGATCATTTCTTGGATGGTAAAACAAGTTGGAGACAAAGGCGGTCCAACCGGATTTGCTGCCCCCATGGGAAAGGAAGTTGGCACATGGAAGGTGGGGAGCATGACATAAACCCCAAACGACACAAGCAATCTGCTCTTGCAAAAGAACCTTTCACCCGAATACACCACTCAAACCAGGATTTGCGGCCTTCAGTTCATCCCTGAACTTACCTCTCTCGAGCTCATTGGCCCCCCCCCGCCCCTCACCCCGCCCCACTTCCTGCTCATACCGGTTTTGCAGGTACTGCAATATCCCCCACGCTCCCCTCCACGTCATGCGGCCACAGCCCTTGAGACTCACTTTCTCCGGCACTCTTTTCAACGCGTTGAGTATATAAGGCACTACTTGGTCTGTCAGCTGGGAGCACCCCCCAAGGTCCAAGGATGTGAGCCCCCTTTCTCCGGACTGGCGCAGAATCCATCGGAGCCCCCGATCTGTAACTTTGCTTGCAATCTGCTTGGGGAAGTGCACTGCTTGCCAGACTTCTGGCATGCCACTGAGAGCTTCTCGCCAATCATGGCTGACGCAAGCGGCTGCGAGGAGGGATGGGAGGTCCCCTGACAAGTATGCCAGAACAATCGGGAGGGCTTGCGCAGGCGGCGCCGACGGGACAGCTCGAGCGCGACCACGATCCATTGATTCCTGCTCTAATTTGCTCAGCTGGACCTGTGCCCTTGTTTCTGCCAGATTGGACTCTAGATGCTTCCTTTCTTCCTCCCTCTCTTCTTCCCTCCCTGCTTCACGCGTGCAAGGTCGATATTCTTGGCCAGGGGTCCCCTCACTCGCAACCTTGGCTGTTCGACGGCCGGCCCCCCCTTTTCATTGATCCGAACGCGACGTCAGCTCGCGCAGGCGGCTTTCGAGATCAATCAATCAATCAATTTATTTTATA